AATCGCTCGGGAACGTAATTATTATTTCACAGATCAAGTCAGTGAAAGTGTGGTAACTGCAGCTGCACAATGCAAACCAAAATATATTGTGTCAAACTTAATTTATATTTGGTACTCAAATCATTTAATCGTAAATCCACAAAAGCATATTTACATTTAAAAAGAGGTGACCAAACAATATACAATTCCAAAAATATATATTTTATTATTCCTTGGAAATAAGTGAAATTAATCACTGTGATAAAATAAATATTCTTATACTTACATTAAATAATAAACAATAAATGGAATTAAACAGTCCTGCAGATCATCTTTAGCATATTTTAAACAAATTATAACGTTTTAAAAATATATTTCCAATAAAAAACACCATTTGTTGATCTCATATCACATAAAAACCTTTTTTAAATATAGCTTATTAAGATTCCTTTGGTATTTTGAAGAAATTGAAAATAATGTACAGATTTGTACTAATTTATTATTTAAATTTCCTTTTTCAGATAAAATATCATACGGCAGTTTTGTTAAAATATAGTTTTCTGTTAAATTCCTTTTAAGTTAATTGAAATAGAAACATTTTAACGGATATTCAAAACAAATTCCATGCAAACTTGAATTAATATTAAAGCTAATTTTTCACAAATATTTCAAATATACAAGCTAAGTTAAACTTAAACAACTCTTAAAGCCAATGCTGCACTCAAACACTAAACTAAACCTTAACTGATGGCTTATAGACCCGACAGATCAATTGTGCCGCCAAAGGTTAGCTGATTCAAGTGCAATTAGCAGATATGGATAATCCGTGTGATTCCATCCAACTAAAATGTCAATAACAATAAATTCCCGGGCAATGCATGAGACTCGCCTCTGATGTGGACTTCGGGGGAAATCAAGAATTGGACACGACAAGGTGATTACATACGAGGAGCAGCTCATAACTGTCAAAATCAGGCAATCAATTGATTGGCGCATTGATCGGCTTGATAGCTAGGCAGCGAGGACCGCACAGGATCGCACTCGGTTCGCACAATATTTTAGAGGCGTGTTCCGGCTGTCAACATTTTATGTTGGTGGTCAGAAAGTCAACTTGCGGTCGCAACTGCAACAGCGGCCAATAGATACTGATGCTGAGAACCGCGCGGGTGTTCCCACTGTGCGCAGGTCCTTGAGCTCACCGAATAGTCGAACAATAGCGTTCACAATTTCCCGCCCCTGTGAGTCCTTTGTGCGTGCGCAGGACACACAAAGGCAACTACTTACAACACATTATGACACGAATTTGGAAATGAAAAGCGAAAACTCCTTGACCATTAGAATAGGCATTTTATTGCCGAACACAAGAGTCCTTCTGATTCATTGCTATTACTCTATTTTGTATTTTTTTCAACTCTGCGGCGCGGCGTGTCCTTTGGCTCCTTTTGATGCTGGCTAACCGCTTTGAATTTGCGTGAACCAAATCCAATTTTATTGCTTAATTTTTTTGTATTCGGCGGCGATTTTCTAGTTTCTCTAATTGAATTGCGCGCTGTGTAAAATTTCACATTTGTCTCTTGGGTCCAAGTTCATTATTTATTTCTATATCTCCACATTCTGATGTAAATTAACTTTCTGTTGTTGCTGGCTGCCTTATTGTATACCATTTTTTGTTTGGGGCAATTTTTGTAAATATTCGTGAATTTTCTACGCCGCTGTGCTTGGTGATTTATTAATCGAAGTCATTTATTATATTAACTTTAGTTTGCTGAAAATGCTTATAAAATAGAACGATCTAGTCAGGGAAAATTAAAATTGACCACTCTGAGCTTTACTATCCAGCATAGTTTTGCAAATTGTTTGCAAATTGTTTTTATTAGTATTGCTGCGAAATTTAACTTTAACTGAAGCCACCGAATGGCTGTTGATTAAGAATACAATTTCAATAATGAATCAATAATAATCATAAGGATCTTAGTATGTTATAGTGAATTCATTGAGTTGGCAAGAAAAGGGAATAAAATATATTTTAATGTAAGAAATATATATTTTGTATTGAAGTTATACCAATTATTTTCAGGTATACAATCGCCATTCGTCTATGGTTTTTTTTTATTTCTCTTGCAACTAGTATAATGGGCAGCCCTATGCCGTTATCCCTATATTCGTGTCCCGACCAGCTGACGTTCGTTGGGCACACGTGTTCGGAGCCATGCGCGCGAGTTTGAGTCTCAATTTGGATTTGTAAACTGAGCCCAGGAGTCCCGAGAGTAGTTGACTGAGCTGCTGTGTATCTGTGTATCCTTGTCGGCATCACACCTACTCCACACAGTTGCACTCTACTCCAGCAGCAACCCTTTACCATTTGTCTTGGCGCACTGCTATCCAAGTCCTTTAAGCGGTTTATCCTGCTGTTGCTTTTGCTGTTCATGTTCCTGTTGCCTTTTTCTCGGTCGCTCTTGCACACTCGTGCTTATCGGAAGTCAACAGTAACTGTTGAAGGGGGCAACGGGAGCATACTGCTTCCTTGAAATTGTATAGTTGTAGTTGTAGTCGTACCGTAAAAGAAACAGCAACAGCAACAACAACAACAAAATACTCATGAAGGAGAGGCACTGGCAACGGCAAATGCTACCCAATTTTGAAGTCAAAGTAGCACCAGATGACGGCATGCGCCGTCCGTTTGTTCTGAGCGATCCTTGGGCAGCATATGTTGCATTTTGGCTTGAGTATTGGTTCTATCTCGCTTTGACTACCGCTCGCTGGGGCTAGTCCTTTTTCGATGGCTTTCACTCGCACGCCACGCGGCAACAGCAACAGCAACAGCAGCGACTGCAACAAATAATAATAATAATAATAATAATAATAATGATAATTTCTTATTGTGCTTAGGCCCAGGTCGAATTTAAGACACGCCAGTTGGTTCCAAAAAAACCTCAAATACTTATGCAGAGCCAGCAGGTTATCCAACTATTCCAGTGAGTAGACAATTCTCGATGTCCTGCGGCAACGGTGCGGTTCCATATAGATCTGCATCAATCAAAATTAAAGTCCCAAATCGAGTCCAATCAAGTCAAACGGAGACAATCAGATCCAGTTGAAAACACGATAAAGTTGATCAATGGCCACGTAGAGCCGAGAATTATCATTGGCCCATACCAAGGTAAAGTGATTAAAATCATATTAACAACGACATTGTTGCTCAAGAAGTTAACGGATTGTAGAAAGTTTCATAAAATTACAGATAAAATGCAGCCGCGTTTCCAGAGAAAGAGTTGCTGTGTTTAATTCTTTATCATCTCATCTGATCTGATCTGATCGAATGGTGTTATTACTAAACTACTCATGCATATTAACAGAAAGCAGCACGATAATTTGCAAAGCCGTTAATGGGAGTTTTTAAATGATAAAATATTAGTGTTGAAAAAGAGGCTTAATTAATACGAAAGAAGAATTAATAAAATAATAATAAATTAAAATAAATACTAAATTACTAGTTAGTTAGCAAAGCAAATAAATATATTTCATACAATAATTATTGTATTATGTATTATGAACATGTTCGTTATAATTTAAATATGTTTTTCGCTGGTTCTATTTTATTTCATATATACTTGGATATGTTTCGAACCCCATCGGTATTCATCTTCCGGAAAAGATGCACAGCATCCATCCAGTCATTTGTGGAGTTATCAACAGCTGGAGTCAGTGGCAAACATATTTAAGTATAAGAATATTTGTACTTAATATTTAGTAAAATATTATCAATAAAAATTGCGTTGGGCCTTCAAAAACATATATTTTTCAATATATTTATAGTTGATATCTATCTGTCATAACGGCAATAGTATTCAATTTGGGCATTTCACAGATCGACTTGCAGTTCCTTTCACAACTCCAAAGACTCTGTTTGCCCAAACTGCATGTATCAACATTTAAACTAGAAAAAAGTCGCGAGCACTCCGTCAGTTGTCTACAAAATGCTTAACAGATGTTGGAGTAGGCATCGTATTGGTATCTCAGCATTTGGGCAACTACAACTGCAACAAGAATAGCAACAACAACAGCAGCAGCAGCAACAACAACATCAACATCAGCAGCAACAGATCATCATCAACAACTGTTACAAGCAGTAAAAATAAGATAAAATTCAGTCGCTGACTGAGTAAAATTGCGCCATTGAGCCAAAAAAAAAGATAAAAAAACTAAAGTCGTAGTAAATTTCGTTTTGCTGGTCGTGGTCTTGTGTGCACTGCAAACAATTTTGGGTCAACAACCAATGTATCTGAAAGATGCATTTATTTTTTGTGTGCTTAATATTTTATACAACATTTTTTAAATTAATATATGGTGCAGGTATTCTCAACATTTGAATTATGTTTTATCTAGTATAAAATTTCAGAATAAAAATCGTATACTTATAAGGAAGGTAACATTTTAGTATTTCTAGATTGAAATACACTTGAGATAATTTGGATTTACCATATACAACCCAAACCACTAATACATCGAGAATTTCTCAAAACTAAAGTACAAAACTTTAAGATTGGGGTTTCTTGATTATTTTCTACGTAATCGGACTCGAATTCCGCGCAGTGCAAGTGCGCAGGTCAAAATAATTTGGCTCACTACGGAAATGCAGGAACGTAGACATGAGCTGACTGTCGTCCTCCACCTAACGCTATCTCTTTCCATGGCCAGCTGTTGCCTCTTTCAGACGAGCTATGCCTTTTTCTGTGTTTTGGTTCGTGTGTTTGCCACGTGTCGCTGGCAAAGCCCATTGACCAATTGGACAATGGCATTGCGAAGAGAAAGGGTTTGGATAAATATTTAAATGTGTGTATATAAATTGTATGCAAGTGACTTTGAAAAGTGAACTTGCGATTAGAAGAGTGAAATATATGCAGAATGAGCAGCTGTAAAATCAATCAAAAACTTGTCAAATAAATGTCAATGCAATTCTCTTTTCGCCGACTTATGCGCATGCATAAGCAATGAGCAGAATGCATCCTGTTCAGGTTATATCCTTTGGGTGCATAAATTGCCGTTTTTATTATATATTCATAAATTTGTGTACATCACCATCAACAACATTTTCTTTGTTTAGCTGCAATTGGCGCGCTGAACACTGAGGTACTCAATGACTTTGGCGGCAACAGCATCGCTGCATCGCTGTGCCTCAGCCATTTGGTCCTGCGGCAGGCGACGTGTATTCACCAGCAGCAAGGAGCCCGAATGCATTGCTTGAGCGAGTCCTTGATTAATTGTGGTCATGCCACGCAAAAAGCAATTATTGTTATCACCATAGTTTGCACCCAGTGGGGCCAATGCAGCGCCCATTAGTTGACTCGAGCAGAGCATCGGAAGCTGAGCCATCTGCTGAACAAAGCTCTGCACATTGGCCAACACTTGCTGGCCATCACGGCGATAGGTCTCAATCGTATTCGATAGCTTTAATGTGCAGGCACCCAACTGTTCCGTCACATTCAGTGTGAACTCCTGCATATTCCAGGCAGGATTGCAGCTGGGATTGCCCAATAGCAAATGATTTGTGTCATCGATGGCAATGCTTATGTCTGCCATGGCATTGGTGGTCACTGCTTCAACATTGTCCATCACATTGGCCAATGCCTGTTCAATATTCGCCTGCAGCTGTGTGGACGTCCTGTCACTGACATCCACTGCCATATTGGAAAGCTGATTCACGACCATACTAATTGGTTCATATTCAGTGGTCTCTGTTTCCGTTTCCGAGTAAGTTTCAGTGGTGCTAAGGGTTTCAGCTTGTGCTTGCTGGTTTGAGGTTTGAGTTTGGTTAAGATAGAATCAGGAGTGAAATACTTCTTGGAATACTCACTGCCCATGTCAGCAGTAATATGCTCAATATTCCAGTTGCTCTGTTCATGATGATTTGGTTTCTAATTTTGGTCGCGACACTGTTGTCCCCATATATATGAATTTATATTGTATCTGCCATTTGTAGATAGTCGGAATACGCTGAACACAACAGTTTTACACATCTTCTCAATTTACGTGATGAAAACTTAAAGATAACAACTAAAAATTGAACACAACGATATTTTTCCACACTTTCGAAATATTCAACAATAGTATTCTTTAAATTTGATATTAATAATATTAAACCTATCAATATATTAATTATCAATATTATTATTTATCAATATTATTATACTTTGGATGCTTATAAGTTTTAATTTTATGCGCAACAGAAAGAAAAAATATGTATGAAAGAAAATCTTTTCTTAATATTCAAAGAAACTAATAATTTCTTGTCAATTTCTTGCTAATTTATATATTCCAAGAAATAAAATGATTTCTTGCCAAATATTTCCTATGTACATATTTTTTCTAACTAATTTTTATTTTACTAGCTTCACAGATAATTGTATTTGTATATTTATTTTTATGAATATCTTTCCTTTTACCAAAAAGGCCAAATACTTGAAACAGCTAATATTACATTTCAAAGTGTGACAATCAAATAAGAATCTGCACATGACTCAGCAGCTGTAAAATGAATCACAACCTAAATTCGCTCACCATTTCAGCTGCTGTCATTGGCCATTAACAATAATTAACAATTGGAAAAATAACTAAATTAAACTGTGCTACATAAATCAAGGCTTGAGTCCTCTTACCAACAAACAACTATTCTTTGGAAAATATCGTTCTATTAAAATAATACAAAACTACATTAACAAACCAGAAGAGAACTGGAATTCAAAGATTTTAAAATTCTGTTTCAAAGCATTTTGACTAGATATATTTGAGAGGAAGATTTTATTATTTATAAAGGCCGCAAGCGTTAAAATAATAGTCGGTTTTTTACGGCTTACGGTTCAAAAGTTTGATTAAAAATCAAGATGTGCAATTCCGCTATAAATTTACTTACTTACTTACTTATCAGTCAAATTAAATGTTATGAAATAATGCAGAAAATATACATTGCAGTGATCTAATTTGTAGTTGCAGTTTATAAAAATCGATTAATGAATTACGTATTGGAGATTGTTTATATATATGTCTAATATATATTCTTGAACTTTTGGTTTATTAAGCACCCATTGATTATAGTATTTCAGGTGCCTGTCGCTGTTGCGTATTATATATTGGACAGCGATAGGAATAAACAAGATTAGCTGCATCTTATCGAATAATTTAAGAAAATCCAAGTGTGGTCGCTGATAATGTTTATAGTTCATTCCTGCGATAAAGCCGTTCACCAAAATAGCCCAAGAGAACAAAGTGGAGTGCCATGCCAGTTGGATTACTTCGATTGAGGCAGCAGAATGATGAAAACTTCACTGTTGCTGCCACTGCTAGGCTGCATGTGCCTTTGGGGCAGAACCTGGGCGCACCGGGAATTGGCCGATCTGCTGGTGCAGCAACAGAAGGATTTGGACTTATCGACAGCAGAAGTGGACGCATTGCGGCCATTCTATCGTGAGCTACAGGCACAGCATGACTACTTGTACAGTCTGCAGATGCAGAATGGCGATGGCAGTGCCCTGTCGCTGGAGCAACCAATCGACGCCCAATTGGACGATAGCTATGCCAAGGCTTTTGAAAAGATGCGTGCCCAGTTTATTTTCGATCAGAACTATAAGCCAAGTATTGATTACGACACAAAGCTGCCGAGCTTGGAGCATATCATTGGGCAGCCCAGCGGTGATATGACAGAGCAAGAGTTGCAGGAGCTAGAGGATCTCCTGGAGATCCTGCAGGATGCGATCGATGAGTCACAGCTGGGCATCGATCAGCTGGTGAGACGCGCAATAGACATGGAAATCAATCTATTGAAGCTCAACAAGCCGAAAATTGTCACAGCTGCAATTGCGGGACTGGAGGTGATGTGGCATTATTGGGGGCGTGCCTCCCGAGCAGCATACTGCAGCTATTCGCATGTCCCTCAGTTTACGGAGGCCCTGCACGCCATCAACGGGGGCGTGGATTGCTACGTCTACACCATGGGACTCATCCAGAAAATACAGGACGAAACTGTGGAATCTGTCAAGGAAATAAAGCACCAAGTTCAGGGACTCGTAAAGATCTACAAGAAGATTGCTGCCAAGAAAACACTGATGGGAAAAATACTATCCGGCGTATTGAATGTGTTTAGTGCATTACGTCGGGTGCACGACATCATTGCGGTGGGAATCGCTGGCTATGACAAGATTAACAATCAGTTGCCAGGTGCGGTGGGTCACACAGCTGAGTGTGGGTTTGGAATTTGCCAACAGTATTCCACAGATGACTGAAACGGCACACAATCTAACCGTATGCATTACGTTTGTGGATACCGATAAACCGGAATATGATTTCACGAAGCCAGAGGGCGATCGCTATTGGAATACTGGAGCAACACCTGGGGATGTACCACACGAGAACGATGTTGATGAGGACGATGACGATGCCGACAATGACGATGATGACTACGTTGATCATCGATAAACTTATTCACCAGCTGTGGCACAAGCAGCAGCACTGAACTTTAGATGCTCTTGTCGGGAGTGCCCAACTATGGGATACCATGTACGCAGCTATAAAAAATATACTAAATCAATGAAAATACAGTTGCTAATTTGATTGCCCTTAAAAAGCTTTGTACTCTCAAATGGAAACGGGAGCTATGAGTATGCGGATAGCGAATGTTTATCTTCTAGAGGGTACCTATCAGTTGGTGCCTCCTAGCGTGTACCTCCCAACATATTCTGAGTGATGATATTTCTACAGTTGATTATTATTATGCAAAGGTATTTCTCAGACGGTGACTTTTATTGCTATCGAAAATTAATTTTTAGCGATACAAGGCTAACGGAAAAAGTTATCGGCTTTACTAAAACTTTTATTTCAAGTTTGAAGTCCTTAGATCGAGTCTCTGAGATCAACGCTTCATACAAGAAGACAGATTGACATGGCACGATCCACTCAGCGATATATTTACTTTATGGGTTCAGAGATGCTTCTGTTTTGCTGGTTACAAGCTTCTCCACAATTTCAAAAAACAAAAGAAAACATAAATTCCCGAGCTTCTGTATTTAATGTTTTCTTAGTAAGATTGATAACAATTCCGTATATGTATACTAGGCATATTAGAATTTATTGAGTTAGACTATCTGCAATTTTAATCAAAAATGATAATAATTTTTCTTGAAGTAACATAGGTATAAAAAAAAACATACTGCTCAAAAACTGTGCACCTTTGCCGTAGGAGACAATCAATGATAGTTCCAAACTAAAGCGAGTGAACATGCATTAGACGAGAGAGGCTGACTAGGAGATACCCTGTACAGTAGTCTTAACATATTAAAAGTCGAACTCGTCTTAGACTTATCGATTCATCGATAACCGTTGGTATTATATATATGTATATTTAGATTTTTAGTGGTTCGATGCGATGACATCCACTGCTATGCTTAAGGACTATTAGACTTAGAGGTACTTGTGAGTGACTAGACATCGCTCTCTTTGAGCTGGCGCACATACTGTTCGCTGAGGGATTTGTTGATGCCCTCGTGACTGGCATGAAAATGCAATGTGGATCCCGTGGAGCCCAAAGCCGCCTGTGGTGAGCTTTGTGACTTGAGCACATTGCGTGTAGGAGCGGATGTGGAAGTACTGGGACTGGGACTGGGCGGTGGTCGATCTGCGGCAAATACCTGTGGCAGCGCAATCACATCGGCCATCAGTGTTTGGCGGCACAGTGCGGAGAGAGCACTGCCCACCAGCAGCGGAGCAGGTGCATCCTTTGGCCTCTTGCCACCCCGACGCAGCTTGGAGGCAAGCGTGGCAAAGCCAAGTTTGCTGGAGATTCGTGCCGAACGGCTAACGGATCGTGGCAAACTATCATAGGCACTGGAATTGCTGAGACTCTCCTGGTCCGTGGTCGCCTCCTGTTGCTGATGTAACTCCTGCTGCTCCTGCTCGTGTTGCTGCTGCAGTTGCCCCACGCTGACGCTCTTGTGCAGCTGTGCGGCATCATATAGACCAATGGGTGTCGTCGGCTCCTGCCTGGGCGTAACTGGTGCACTCTGCAGAAACTGCGCCTTGGCCTGTTGCAGTCTCTGAGCACGCTCCGACAGTGGCGTCGCCGGTCGCTGCAGATGATGCGGCTCTAAGACGGATGGCGGAAACTCAAAATGTTTCGGTTTAGTTGGCGTGTGCAATGCCTTGGCGCCCTTGCCCTCCAGCTTGCGTTGGATGCGGGGCAGCGTGTTATCCTCTTTGTTGGGCAGCGCCAGATATGCGGAGACTGGATAAGCTCTGCTCACCGTCGAACCGGAGCTGGTCTTGGCAATCTTGTGCTCAATATTGTTGCTAACCGTGGCACTTTGTGACTTGTGCAGCGAGTTCTTCTTGTAGAGATGCGTCCGGCGTGGTGGCACCTGTGGGATCAGGTGGCGTTTGGAGCGCGCCAAACGCTGCAAGCTGTCGGTGGCCAGGGGCGGACGCACAGATATCGTTGAGCGACGCACATTCTCTGTGCTCTGGCACTTACGCAACTCCTCCTTGGGACACAGTGGCGCCAATCGCTCAAGACTGATGGATTTGTAGAGATTGAGGGGACGCGGCGTGCTCAATTTGGAGGCGATCTTCGCCTCGTCGACGCTGTGCGTGGGACTCTCCAGCTCCTTTTCGATAAGTGCTATGCCCTCGACGGCACTTGGCTCCAGAACAGTGGTGAAGAGCTTACGCTTAGTCTTCACAAAAACATTGGCATTGGTGTTGTAGTTGCGCGAATGAAGCTCTGGCAGCGGAGGTGGCACAAAGCCAGTCAGCTTGGCCACCGGCTGAATGGGAATGCTGCCGCTGGCAATGCTGTGCGACTCCTCGATGGGCTCGCCGGGCTTCACTTTCAGTGAACTGCAAATAATGTCATCCAACTCCGCTGGCGCTGCAGCTGGAATGGAACTCAAGCGGAAGTCATCATCCAGGGATCGCTGTTTCATGCGGAAGTTCTTGCGTCGCATCCGACGTGGCGTCTCCAATACACTCTGCGCATCCGCATCGCTGCTGTCGCTCTCCGTCTTGCTGTTCTGGCGGGAACCCATCTTGCGCAGTCGCAACTTCTTCTTGGCTGCATTGGCATTGTTGCCGGCGCTGCCGGCTGCACGGCACACGGTGCTCGTTGTAGTACTCGTCTCCGTTTCGTGCTCCATGGGCGAGGGTGAGGGCGAGGCGGCAGTTTTCTGCTCCAGCGTCAGTTGATCGCGACTGGACGCGTCGCAGGTGGCATAGGCAGAACTTGAGTCCACCTGTTGACCATCCTCGCCAGTTATGTTGATATCCGGCACAATATCGCGTGGATAACGATTCGTGCCGCCTTCTATACATTTTTAAAAGAAATGTTGACGATTTATCGTTTTGATTGTGTATAATATTTGTGTACAACAGTCAAAAGTCAGTTCGGGTCAAGTGTTGGCCACGTTGAATGGCAGAGTATTACTTACGGATGCTCAATTTGAGGCATAACATGGATTCCTGTAGTCCCTGCAGCTCCTCCATGTACTCGTTGGTTCGCTCTTCCATCGTTTCCTGGCAACAGGCCTCGTCCAGCGGTGACTTTAGACGCTGAAATATACAGCACCACATTAAGCCAGAATCGAAATCTTTTGGATGAGTTCAAACTACCCACCAGGTCAGCTAGACGCCCCAGATCGCTTTGTACATCGGAGACGGCATTCAGCACGTTCGGTTTCATCAAATTATTGGAGTAGTATGGATAAATGCTGCGTATGCTGAGCAATGTCGCCTGACAATCCCGCATTGCGTCATGTTCCTCAATGTCTGGACTGGACTGGCCCAGCTGAACAAATAGCTCCTCGGCACGTTTCAGTGCTCCGAGCAGCGGTGCCAGGTTCGTGTGCGACTCAAAGCTCTGAACGCGTCGCGAGTTACTAGAATACAAATTAAATGGAAAACAGTCTTTCGGGGAATCAGCAGTTGTTTGTTTGGCTTAACATACACATAGTCATTGCATTGCACCTCCTCGTACTTGTAGATAGGTGTTTGCTGCTCGACCAGCGTATGGGCGGTGACCAGCGGTGAGGCTGTGTCATGTATTAGCTCCTCCACCTCGACCATAACGGCCTCTGGTTCCTCGTATTTCTTATACTCGTGATCTGTCGAATCCATGCAATCCTCCATATCCTTCAGCTCGTTGACATCGTTTAGGGACAGTGATGAAGCCTGCTGTGAGATGACCTGTACCTGATTCACACTCGGAGCCACACTATCGAGCGATAATGAACGGCTCAACGTCGGCGAGTGCTCGGCTATAGCTACAAATAATCATTATTGTATTTAATTGGTTTAGTATGTGTCCTAAATGTTTCTACATAGTAAGGAATATTTCAGTACATTCCAAATATGCAAATTTTTAGTTAAATTCTAAATGAAAACTGTATTTTTGAACTAAATGTTGAACGTCTTTCGTTCACGGACAGTTTCTGGTTGGAATAACTTTAAGTGGCCTACTAACCCTTCTTGAACTCCTTGTTAATGCGGCGCACATCGATGGGACAATAGCCGGGATGCAGTAGCGCAAATGTGGATGCCTCCGGGCCAATGCCTCTGGCCTTTTCCCACTCGTAGAGTTTGCGTGTGAATTTACGTGAGATGCCCTCGAATTTCATCACCTCGCCGTCGGAGGTCTTCACCTCTATATTTTTGGACGTATAATCTGGTGCCACGATTGCTTTAAGTTTCGCCAATCTGTAAGTATCGAACGTTGATTAGTAAAATCTTAGCAAGTGTTTAACAATGCGTTTTTGACACACTTCTCCTTCTCGTGGGGCTTGTGCTTGTACCAGCGATCATCGTCGGAGCCGCGTCGCGTGGATTGGCTACGCTTGGAGTTGCGTTTGAGGGAATCATTGTCGGAGTTGGTGCCGCCACCGGGTGCACATTTCAAGCGATTCCATTGCTCTAAGTTAGTGAATATGAGTGTGTATTTAAACAGGGTATCTCCACTGTGGGTGACTCACCCAACTTCTTTTGAAACTTCTCGGACAAGTCCTTTTGATCTGGCATTGTACACAGGCCCTGACCCTCTAGCTTCAGTAGACCCGAACTCCAAAGATTCCAATCGATTTTTGGCTTTAGATCGCCACCACTTTGACTCTTGGCCGTCGGACTCGCTGCTGGCTCGGAACTGGCATAACAGTTGGAGTTCTGCTGCTTGGCGCGCCATTTGGTCAGCTTCTTCATGAACTGCGGTGTCAGATTCTGCTCCAGCTGCTGGGTGGACATAAGGTCGCTGTGCAGCAGCTGTGTGGGTGAATGCTCCTCGCTGCTGCGCTTGCCACTACCACTGCCAGGAGCACCACTGCACAACTTGACGCCTAAATGTAGATGTATGTGAAGGATTAGTCAATGCACCTACGGGGTAACTGTGGATAAATTGGCCTTACTGCGATTACTGGCACTGGATCGTTGGAATTCGCGTTGCTTGCAATTGAACTCCAAATCTAGTTTGATTAGTAGAAGTTGATAATGTTGAAATATCTCATCTTCTATCTGTGTGAAAGTCTTACAGTTTGGCGTCGTTGGCTCCGAGAAATCGCCACTGGACAGATCCTCGCTCTCTGCAATGCCAAAGACAATAAATAGAAACCGCACTACTTGTCATTCTCTTTCTATATCTCTCTCTGCCACGCCCTCCCAAAAGGATCACCCACCGAATTCACCAAAGAAATCCGAATGCCTGGAAGGACTGCTCGGCACTGAGGAGTTGCCCGGTGAGCTGACTTGACGCATACGGGGCAATGTTTGACTGCCGTCCTTGTTGGGACTTTTAAGTGGTGAATGAAGCTGCGGCAGATCGCTGCACTCCTGATTAAGATTCAGGGGACTGGGTGGAAACTTGTTGCGGCGACTGCTCGTCGACTTAATGTCCGCCACATGATCCTCCGGTAGTACCTCAAAGTCTGAGAAGGCCTTCGAGCGACGTAGCGATTTCGTTGAAGCAGATTTACTGGGCAGCGTTGGCTTGGCTGAATCCAAGCGCTCATCGGTTGCCGATTTGCGCATCTCCACCTCATTGTTGGCGGGATGCGTCTCACTCTTGGACGAGTGGCGACCTGCAACGAAAGGAGCCAGCTACATAAAGTCACCCAATGGAGTTTTAGCGAGATCATTTACGCATTGGCTGCAAACTGCCCGCATCCAAATGGAGCTCATCCATGGAGCTGGCCGAGCTGATGGTGCCAGGCGTTCCACCCGTCTCGCTCATAAAGTGACCCGACGAGGAGCTGATCACACTGTCAGCCGAACTACCGCCGCCAGCAGTGCCAATGGGCACCTTTAAATATCTGCAAAGGATCACCAGCGTTTAGTAACTTCTGTCATGGATTCGCTGGAATATATTAAATACCTCTCCACCTCTTGATTCAGTGGCATTAGTGCGCCCGGCTCTGAGACAGTGGCTGGAGGCACATTCGCACGCTCCCACTTGAAGGCCGCCTTCACCTTGGTCCATTTGGATACTTTGGATTTGTTGTCACTGTAGGTGCTCTGGCGACGCAACAGGTATGGACGTGAGGAGCCCATCTTCATCTGCCGTTCGCCCTTCAAATACATGTGTAACTCATCCTCCATCATGGACTTGCTTCGCTCACGTATTCTATATTGTAGAGATTCATAATGAGTTAAACTCTGGGTGATGATGATGATAATGAAATGAGATTGTCGATCGAAATTGTGGTAAAATTTCCAAGAAAAATAGACGCCTAGAAATACTTTTTTTATACTCAAAAGTTTTTAACAAACTGAAAACAGCAGATAAAACACTTTGGAATACTTTTGAACACAGAATTATCAAAAATTATACACTAATTGAAATTTTAAAGTATTCAGTTTCATCAAATCAATTCCGAACGTTATCAACTTTATTGTATCGAAATAAACAAAGTTTATATTTTTGTTTAAATTTCGTAAAAATATTTGGAAACTTTACAATATTTTGATAGGACTTTGTATGTGTAAGTTGTCAACTACTTTTAAGTAAAAAACAATAGTTTTTGATAACGGTTTTTGTAGACGATTTGCGGCATTCGAAAGTATCAATTATGGTGAGTAAATTGGCATTTTGTCGACTTGTATTCGCACATTAGAACTGAAATGTTTTAGTTAGCGAGCGATCACTGTACAACATTTGCATACCTCTTAAACTTGCCCTGTTTGAAGGGCGGCACCACTTCTGTGCCCATCACCGATTCCAGCCAGGTCAGCGAGTGCTCCAGCTCGTATTCGGTATCACCTGCGGGGCTTGCCGTGACTGGAACTGGAACTGTAACGGGAAGTGGAACTGCGGTATCTGCAGCTGGTGCTGCTACCGCTTCCAGTTGCTGCGCCGGTGACGGCTCTTCCTCGCTGTCCGCAATGGTGGCCAGCTTACGCTCTAGCAGACCCTCGAGCATAGCACAGGTGCGTGTGATCTGATCCATCGCTTCAATGGCCGAATTGAGCCGAGTCTTGAGCGGCTCAATTGTGCCGCGATCTGCTCGATAGGGATGACAGAAATAGCAACTATGCTTGCCATGCGCACAAGTAGGCAAATCCTTTTCCTCGCGCAACTTGGGCGATGCGGAGAGATTGCGGGCGCGCGATGCCACAGCGGGAAACTGAAAGATGTTCTCATCGGCTCGCCCACACATGGCTGGCGGTGCCGTCGGCAAGGATTCATAGTGCATCACATTCAATCTTTGTCGCGTTCGTCGCGGTTTCGGCGGTGGCGCATTATCCATTCCAATGCTACAAGTTTTATGCAGGTCCAGCGCAAGACCCACTTCTATTTACATTTATCTGTATATACACATATATGAATATATATATATATATATATATATATATATATTTATTTATTTATTTAGCTACGTGTGTCTATACGCGTATTGAAATGCTCAATTGGCTTTCTTGTTTGTTTACTCGGCGAGATACGCCACTAGAAATACACGCAAGCCAAGAATATCCCAAGAATTATCGAAATCAAAAAATTTGTTTATAAAAGAGGAAGACAAATGTGGAACGTCCGCCACACACACACTTGCATGTGAATTCAGAGTACAGACGGTAATTTGAAATGCCATAAAGTGTAACGCTTAAAATACACGATATAAACAATAAATTTTTGAAAAATGAAATTTTAGCACGTTTCGCCACATGTGCAAAAGTTTTGTAAATATTTCCAAATATTTTTGGAAATACGCGTGTGTGGTCAATACAAAACGAATCGAAACGAATCAATTTAAGAATTACCAAATGCACTTTGTGCCACACAAATTGTTGTAGAATGATTGAACAATCCAGCGATCGACAAGCAGCCAAACACAGAATCACAAAATAAATAGAAACAATGGCATAAACTATTTTTAAATTGCTGACACTCTTTTGTTATGAACCACCCTCTCCACCCCACACAGAGACACATCCCTTCCTCCTCCCCTTCCATTCTACATACTGAAGTATGCACACTTCCATTATTTCATTTTTAGGTTACACGCAATTAATATTTTTGGCTTTTTTAATTTTTTTCTTCTTTTTTGGGGGGAAATTATGGCCCCCAAGGTGCACACATAGGCGGGTGTGTGTGTGTGCATGTGTGTGTGTGAATGGGGCATCATACCGTGTGTATATATTGGAGCCCAATACTTTCACTTGGCGTTCGTTTCGCCACTTTCATGTTATATCGAAAACGTTGCCACACGTTATTGAATACACACTTTATATTTTCATCAGTACTTAAGCGAGAGAAGCACACGCAGTTCTTTAATTATTCACAAGTTTTGTATATTTACGCTTTAAGTTTTGATAAGAATTATTCGAGAATTTATTATTACTTGCAGTTTTGTTATGCATACAATCGGCCGCCCCTTCGCAGATCTCCTTTCTACTCTATTCTTTGATGAGATTTTTTCGCGATTTTTCACGCCGCGAATATAAAAACCGTATCGTTCCGTTCGTTGGTCGAATCTATTCTGAGCACAAATGCGCACGGCTAGCAATTTTCGTGCTTATGAGAAAAGTCGGAAAATGATCACTATATACACATATGGATGTCACGGAGAGTAGTACTCTTTATTGCCCCTTGAATTTCTCTTGTTAACGCAATTATGAAGAAACCATTTCTTATCAAATCTAATTTTTCTCTGGTTTATTGAATGGATATTTAAAGTAGTTCTTTTTTTAAAAATGTCCCAACAGATATTTGTAACTGCCTTAAAGCAGATATGTCTTTGCTAAATTTCCCAAACATAGTTAATTGGCTCTACATGGTTTGAAACTTGGATTAAATGGATTTTTACTGCAACAATTATTGTTTAAAATGAAGACCGATTTTAGCAAAACAATATGTGCAATATATCTTAATCTTTTTATGTATAATTTTTTAGTAAAGTTTTTAATTAAGTTGAAGTAAAATCAGCCTAAGAACAGCTGGATTGACTATTTATGCTGTTCTGTTGGCATATTTTACAAAACACCTGATTTGTTATCGATAATCTAAATCTGATTGGAGCTATGTGAGTGAGAATATCGAAATACGATAGTTTTTCGATAGTGTGTTGGTCGCTGCTGCTGTTGTGTTATGATTTTGTATAAAACAGCCGGGAAATAGTAAAAATTATATAATTATAACTGAATAATACAACTACGGTGACTGAATAATAAATACATCAGAAATGTTATCACTTCTATCAACAATGCGTACTCTTGTCGTACGCCAGCAAGCGGGAGAAGCATTGCGCTGCTTGCACCTGACCGCAGTCGCGGAGGCTGCGCGCAAGGGAACCCGTGAGAAGGCACGCAAGAAGAAGGTCAAAGTGGAGGTAAAGAAGGTGGGATTCATCCCCCACAACCAGCGAGACAAAAAGTGAGTGCAGCAATTGCAATGTTCATACACTTTATAAATATTAATGCCATGAATTCAAATTGTCAGAATCAATGTTAAGCGTGCGGACAAACACGTGGATGATTCCTGGAAGCAGGTGCCCAAAGATGACGTCTATGTGGGACGTTATTATCGATGGCCCGTGTATACGGTGGCCGAGGCCATACAGTGTCATCGGGAGACGCATCATCCCAGCATGTACAATGTGCCCAATGCACCGCTAAACGTGGAGATCGAATTAAATATGCAAGGAGAAAAGGCGACGAGATTTGTGGATAACTTTCAGCGGATGGCCATGATACCGCACAAATTCCATCACGGCGAGGAGCGCAAAATCATAGTATTCACAAAGGGCAACGTAAGTACATTCGGTGAGCAAATAACTGTTATGTTTGCTGACAAAATGCATTTACAGGAAGAGATTGCAGAAGCACGAGGAGCAGGCGCCTCCCTTGTGGGTGGCGTGGAGTTGATCAAGGACATAACCGGGGGCGAGCTGCTGCTATCCGACTATCAATTCATCATTGCACATCCCAATATACTAGCCGAACTGGTCGCACTGCGTGGCCTGATGAAACGCAAGTTTCCAAATCCTAAGAGCGAAACGCTGGGCACAAATCTGGCCGAAATGATTGTGAAATTCTCCAATGGCATCGCCTACAGTGCAGCCAAGGACGAATACCAGCAGAACTTTGGCCTGATAACGGCCAGCGTGGGCACGCTGGACATGGATGCCCAACATCTGGAGGAGAATGTACGCTTTCTATTGCAGGATGTGAACACAATGCGACCAAAACGTGATGGTCGCTTTATAACTCGCGTCCTGCTCAAGAGTGCGCCCAGCAGCGAGCAGCTGAAAATCGATCCATTTGTATATATATCGGAGTTATACGACAAGAGTGCTGCCAAATCAAGTAGAGATGCCAAGAAGGAAGTGGCACCAGCAGAACCACAAGCTGCTGCTGCAGCAGCTGCGGCAAATTAGATTTTGTTAAATTTGATTGTTTACTTACAGAGGCGATAGCTTTAATGGATCAATTTGTGCATTGGCGGAATCGGAATACATATTTTTTAAACATTATTTACTTTTAAGGAACGTGTTTTTATTCCACAATAATTAAGAGCTGTTGTCCGTCTTTGGGTTAACTTACATATTGTATAAAGTCTATGCGTATGCATATATATAAAAAAGGTAAATAGATATTTGTGTGTCTTGACAATTAAGAGGAGTTCTGACGCTTAACACTTGCAACACACTCACTGGAAATAATTGCACAATACAATTTGCTAGAAGAGCCAATTTTTCAAATTTTCTTGCATAGCCACATATGCACTTTAGAAATAATACATCATATTTTTTTAGGGAAAATTGTTGTTTTGATTTGCGCTTATGCTTTTAATGTTGCCGCGTTGCGCTGCTGATGCTGCTGCAACATTTCTAGCTGCTTGACGCGAGTATAGGCGGCACTAGCCAGCAAGACGACTATATTCGAGATCCACCAGATCGATGAACGTACATCGTTGTAATACTGCGTGGCAATAACTGTTTGGGCACACGCCTTAGCCGTGCCAGAGATGTTGTGAGTTAGAGGCGAAGTAACCTGTAATCAGCAGATGGTTGATAAGCATTAAACACAACATACTACCTAACAACCTACTGCTACCTGCGTTTGCTGATTCACTTACCTTTATCTCTAAAGCTGTGACAAAGCCAATGGCAAAACCACAAAATCCACTCAGCGTCATCGCGGCCCAAAACCAGCCAGCCCACAAATGTTGATATGCCAGAATTGTGCCCAATTCACCATTTAGTATAATCAATGGCAGAAATAACAGCGTGGAATACAAATTATTGTAATAGCTAATTAGCCAGATTTCCTGATTGACGTACGACAGCGATTTCTTCGTTTGAATCGAGTACATGGCCAGCGCCAGGGAGCTGAGCACACCGAAGATTGTGCCACGCCAGGAAAAGGCAAGCGTTAGACTCTCCTGATCCACACCCAGCCAAAATCCGACCACAATTGTTGCACAGCACAATAAGCACTTGAAGCTGGTGCGTTGACGCAGAATCACATAAGTCAGCACCACACTAAACACTGTCGTCAGGGAGCGTCCGATGTAGTAGAAGGCCACCGTCACATAGGTCAGCGACAAGTTATTGGCACCAATCATAAGCGTATAGAGCACAGATAGCGGCAACAGCTTCCGAAATGTATCAATGTCCAGTGGATTACCCTCCGGAAAGGTGAATACGCTGGGATACTTGCGGCTCAGGCAACTCATCAATAAACAAATGACTGTGGAGACAACGCATTGGAACCAGGACATGAACAAGGGTGCGCCCAAATTCACTGTTTCGCTGCTCAGCAGATGCTTGTTCACAAAAACCGTCAATATGGAAGTGCACCTGGCCGACAAATGAAACGTGTTCAATATGTAAAAGATAAGCTGATAAAATTATATTTTGCTTACCAATAGAGCGCCACAACAAAGAATATTTTTAGATATTTATTCACCAACCGATTGTGCTCTTCTAGATTCTTATACATTTTGAGCGGAGTTCCAGGCAAATATACATGCGTCGTATTACAAAATATAAATACAAAATTGAGCGTCGTTGCACAGAGCCGGCTGTCGATCAGCTGTTTTCGTTACAGTTCGCCCTGCTGTTAGAGCTACCACCCACAACACAGCACACACACAAAAATTAATAATAATTTTGTGTTTAATATTAAACTCAATTTTTGATTTAAAATTAATTAGTTTTTATTATTATGTTAGAATCAACATTTTTTCTTTTACTTGCTGTCTGCTGTATATTTATTTTGTGTGCTTCTTAATGTTTAGTGTTGTGTAAGTTCCACGCATCGATGCATTTATGCGGTTCTCTTTGCTCTCTCTTTCGCATCTTCTTCTTTATTTGTCCCATTGGCGGAATTCGGTGCCTTCGGGCGGCTTAACGGTCACCGTCTCTTTGGACACCTCGTTCCAGTTGGTGCTCAGCACAGTGCCACCGGATTCTGAGAATGATTTATTCATGGCCTTCTGCACTTCCGGTGTGGATGTGCTGTAGATTTTTTTGAATAGATGATTCAAGGCCGCCTCCCCCTTGGCCGACATCTCGTCATTTTTCTCCTCCTCGCTGACCAAACGATCCCAGTTTTTTGCCTGCAGGGTCGGCAGTGCTGCGACATCTGCCTTTTGCTCGAGGCTTTCCCAGCGAACGCCCGTCTCTTTGGCCAATGTTATTTCCACCTTGGTGGCATAGGCCTTGTGTGAGGAGCGCTCCACATTAATGGGATGGAGCAGTTGGAGCAGCAGCTCATAGCCATCTGCAGTCATTTGGACTTTTTGCGGCTCAATGTTAACGACGTAATTTTTGTCTGTGGCTCCCTTCAGCAGAACTGTTATGACCACCTTGGTCTCCGATTGGTACCAGTCATGTCGCACCGACATTCTGCGTCGAATTTAATGACAGATTCTAAATAATTCGGGAGGATTTTTAAATTAATCAAGAGCAAAAAATACTATGACAGGGAAATATCTAGAAAACAAATAGAGTTGCCTACAAATAAACAGATCAGCTGTACTGTCAGTGCCAGTGTGACACCGCGAAAGTCCTAAAAACCAATCCATAATTTATTAAAAATTGCTCATTTTATTCACCCTTTTTTATTTAGAAGTTATATATATAGTTTATAAGACAATTTTAAAGTTTTACTTAAATTTCATTGATTTAGTTTTAAATGGTATTTTTTCAGCTAGAATTCGATTTCTCATTTCATTTGGTATTTCCATGCAGTGGATGTGCAGCCACACTGACCTATGTAATTGTCAAAGGCAAAGGCGAGCGAGAGGCGATAAATAATTTTTAATTTTACTTCGACTAACCGTTCGCGAAATGAAATTCTATTGTCGAAAAATGTTGGAAAGTGTGTTTGTATGAGAAATAAGTGTAAACACATTGCCATTGTCCAAGCTAAATGCAAATTCCTTGAATATTTCCAATTGGAATTTTGTGCAAACAGGGTGTCTGTTCGCGTATGTGTGTGTGCGTGTGTGTGCTTGTGCCTGTGTATGTGCCATCCTTAATTTTTTCGCACATATGTATGTATGTAGCTGAACATTTTTCTCTAATATACCAACAATCGAGAGCGAGCGCACACACAGCGAGAGCAAAGAGAGCAGCACGGCGCACAGCCACAGCCACGGTACCCTTGCGAGAAAAGGTAAGTAATTGAGGTGTAATGTAATGTAATGTCCACCAATTTCCCCGAAGGTCTGCTCTGCGCGCTGTAAAAGCTCTTTAAATTATATATGTACATATGCATGTGTATATTTTTATGCCGCTTCTTTTCACACAGCTGGAGTATATGGATTATAAAAACATTTTGATTGCCTATAAGTTAAAAGAAAGTTTAAATTAGAATTTCACCAAAAAAAAAGTCGGCTTAAAGTAAAAAAAAAAATCGAATTAAAAAAATGATTGTACTTTCGAAAGTAATGGATTTGTGTGTATTAATACAGTACCTTGTTTATGAAAATTATGCTTTTTGGACCAGTGTGCGCTGTCATATTTGGGTCATTCGAGTACTGCGCCTGTCTGTTTGGTTCTTTTCTGTTTGTTCTCTGTTGCTCTGCTCTTCAATGGAGCTCTGTGCGCTCTCTCTCTCTCTCTCACACACTCTCTCTCAAACTCTCTATCTCTCTTACAACCTATTGTGCATATAAGTTTTCAAGTGACATTTTTGTTGATTTAACGGTAATTGTAAATTAACGCGCTACTCGCAATTGTCATATTGTCAAATTTACTTGTGCAATTTGCATTTCGTTGTCTGTCCATTTGCTGTTTTGCCTTGCGTGTGTGTATTGTTTGTGCTGAAATGTGGCGTGTGTGTGTGTGTGTCTGTATGAGAATTTCTCGTGTTCTCATAAGAGATAGAGAGAAAGAGCCAGCGAGAGGGAGAGAGAGTATGTGCGCTGGGCTAGCAATCGCAATACTGCTACTTGTGGGTGGGTGTGCGTGTGTAAGTGAGTGAGTGGATGTTGCTCGTCTGTGTGTGGGGTGTTTGTGTGTGTGTGTGTGTGTGTGTGTGGCTGGCGCAGAGGTATTAGGATTGCTTGTTATTCTTTCTTTGTTGTTTTATTTGTGAAAAATATCTGCTACTGCTGCTATGTATGCACTGTCCGAGTGCCTGTCTCTATGTGTATGTGTGTGTGTGAGTGTGTTTATGAGTTGAAGGTAGTAAATACATAAAAAATAGAAAAATAATTGAACTGCACGTATAAGAATAATATGTAAAGGCAAATCAAAACTAACAACTAACAGCAGCAACAACAGCTTTGTTAAGGGCAAGTTTAATTGAGTTTTATCTTAGTGTTGTATCTCGACAAACATACAATATACAAATATACGAACACATACATACATACATACAGATGTATGTGATTATCTCTTGTGCGTTTCATAATTCGGCAAACGAATAAATTCCAATGCTGACTAACAACTCAAATCTTCTGAATGCTGAACGGAAGTGCAACAACGGGTGAAAAAATATATATATATTTATATGTGCGTTCCCATTTTAAATTGTTGTTGTCTGCTCCCATTTTCCATCAATGTCACAATTCGAGTGCGACCTTGAAATTCACTTAGGCCTACACTATGTACATACACTTATATTCATACACTTATACATACGAACATACATATACTTAATATGCAATTTGAAGTATGTCAATGACCTAGTCTAACAATATATTATGACACCTGCAACCAATTTCCAACTAAATGTGCTATTCGAACTAGTCCAGTTGGATTCATCTTATAATGTTAAGTAAAAGTCCAGCTATGTGCAATATTGCAAAAATCCATTTGAAGTCGTAGTAGTCGTAGTAGAATTCCATTTAATAAACCTTTAAGTTAAGACAGTTCTTATTGCCAACAATTGGTTTTCTTCTTTGCATTATAACTTTGCAAGTATAACTACATCAACCACCTGCAATTGGAGCATTGTTAAAATTAGATTTCTCTTTCAATTTTGTTTTAGTACAACTCCAACCACCTCTAATTGGCAGAGATCGAGTGAGCGACATCGTTTTTGTAACCACCGCAGCTGCATTCACGCGGCGTAGCCGACTACTCCTGCCAATAACCAGATCGCAACACCAATAACAACATCAAGATCAACAAGAAGAGCACACAACAACTTAGCACAACACACGACGCACACGTGCAGCTGAAACAATCAGCGAAATGTTTACGGGTAAACTGCAGATCAAGGTTTGCGAGGCGAGCGGCCTGCGTCCAACAGATTTCCAAAAGCGCCACAATTTAACATTTGGCAAATTGGCCGATGAGCAACTCATCGATCCTTACGTGTCCATAGATGTCGACGAGAGTCATTTTGGTGAGTTGACATGCCGACAATTTATTTAAATACTATAAATATTAATCAATTTCATTGATTCCCAATAAGATCGCTCGACAACAAGACCAAAGACGTTCGATCCGGTATGGAACGAACAGTTCGTCCACGACGTCAACAATGCGCGCAACATCAATTTAACTGTTTTTCATGATGCCGCCCTGCCGCCGGATGATTTTGTCGCCAATTGCATTATTCCATTTGAGGATCTAATTCAGAGCGAGTCCGGAGTTCCGGATCTATGGGTGCGTGGTAGTTCCTTATATACTACATATTTCTATAAATGTCGAGACATCTAAGTTCAATGATCCTTGCAGAATAGAAGTACATTTTAGACGAGCTTCTTGTTGCTATTTTGTTTTTTGATATTTATTTGATTAGTATGATATAGAACCACATTTCTTTTAATAGCCTTGCAGATTATTATCTGACCCTTTGTTAATATTTGCCAATATTTTAGTATACTTCAGCTCAGTTTAAATAAAGTAATAACTAAGCAGTCTTTGTTTTTGTCAGTCAGGATTTTAAAATTTCTTTATTTTTTATTTTGTCAATTTATGAAAATGAAAATTGTTTACTGATTAATTGACTGAGTTTGTAAGGGCCTCCAATTTACGTATAAACATATTTTTTGATATTGAAATGCTAACACGATTTCCGTTTTGCAGATTAACCTGGAGCCACAAGGCAAAATTCATGTCATTATCGATCTGAAGAACCGCAATGGTAGGCATGAGCATTATGGTTAGTTATGTTCATTCATTGTAAGGCACCATAAACTAATCGAATTTACAGATCAAGCTAAAGTTGACGCCGAGGTGGAGAAGACTGTGGCCGTTAACAAGGAGTTCAAAGAACGTGCCGGATTCAATCGACGCCGTGGTGCTATGCGCCGTCGTGTGCATCAGGTACAGTAAACCCCGTCATCCAGAAACCAAACCAAAACTGATCAATAATCAATTTAATCTCTTTACGACAGGTCAACGGGCATAAGTTTATGGCTACATTCTTGCGGCAACCGACCTTCTGTTCACATTGTCGTGAATTTATTTGGTGAGTGTTTCAAAATGTCACATTAAACTCCACCTACATACATATACATACAATATGTATGCTCTGAGCGTACAGCCAAGTTGGCCATCCATCTACAGTACCATTTTTAAGTTGTAATTGCAGTGATTAATATTTTTAATTCTTTGATTTTTCAATTTGTATGATTTACACAACAACAACAACAAAAAACCCACACACAGTTGTGTTTTTTTTTTGTATTTTATATGATTTACAAAAAACACATACATCAAACAAAAACATTGTCATTGCTCTTATATCTTTTATCTCTTCTCTATTTGATTTTGATTTTTTGCTAACTATTAAATAGTTGTTTATTTTTTCTATCCACATCAACACCTATTGATTTCGATGTATTTGTATCGTAATCGTAACCGACACACAAATCTTTTTGGGTTCCACTACGTATTTTAGCTATCTTATGCATAAGTTTTTTAGTTTTATATACATATCTCTCTTGATTAACCATGTTCACATAATCATAATTCACACACATAATTGGGTTTGATTAGAGCTGCAGTTTTTTTTCTCACTGGGTTGGTCTCTCATGCTACTTACATATGCTTGACTTTCATCTTTTGGGTTCCGTGCTACGGGCTTACTTCTATATTTTCTATGCATAGTTTTTTTTTATGGTTTTTCGCATTCATTCATGCCTACACAAACGAAAAGAAAAAAGAAAACACCCACACATACACTCATCCATTCAGTTATAAAAGAAATATATATGCAATAGCCACGGAATTTCTTGCCTTTTTGCAGGGGAATTGGTAAACAAGGCTATCAATGTCAAGGTATGTGTTTTGCTTACAATTAAAAAAGGAATTTCTCACAGAGATCCAAAGGTCTCTGCGAATAGCATTAAACAATATTAAAACCAAACAAAAACAAAACAAAAAACAAGCTATTCATCACTTGCATTTGCTCGTTTCATTCGTTCGTTGTATGTTGATGTTGTTCAGTTTCAGTCAAACTAAAAAAAAACACAAAAAAAGAAAGAAAGAAACAAAAATATCATTTGCCTTTAATACTTAGCTGCATTATCGATTTTAATGAACATCACAAGGAAAGTTTATACTATTTAGTTAACGTCGTCGTTGCCGCTGCTGTTGTCGCCTCTTTCTACGCATTTGTCCATGCACCAAAGTAATGCATTTGTCTATTCAGTTTGTTTTTTTGTTGTTTATTTTTAAGTACACACATTTTGACTGTTTTACATGTGTTGTCCTGTCTGTCAGCAAGCATACTAATCGTTAAATGTTAAGCTCGATTGCCAGAGAGAGAAAGTAATCTTAAGAGTTATAAGAGAGGTAAAGATCATTCTATTTACTTAAGTATTTGTAATAAGAACATGTAAGAATAACATAGAATAGATTTGCCATAAGGAGAATTATTTAAGTAGACACGGAAAACGATTAAGTCACTTTATTTAAATTAAATAAATAAGATTATGATATGACGCAAATTGTTCATGTTTGCTTCAGTTATCTGAAAGCAGCAAAGTTGAGCATTCAACAAATACGAATGCTGTAGTCTAGAGAAAGCTCGACTAGAAGATACCCTAAACCCAGTCTTTAAATTTACTTAAGAGCTAGAAGTAATAATGCATTTTCAATGGAAAAATTCAACTTATTAGTCAGCGAGTCGTGATAGTTATAACTATGATTATGCTATGAACATTTTTTAAACTCTTCATGAACCTTACTAAAATGCATGCAAAAAAAAAGAAGATTTTTGTTATAGATGTAGTTTTTATATATGTTTTAATTTCAATTTTGTAAATCTAAAGTCCATTTGCAAGGCATCTCAAATTGATGGGCAGAATTCTGATTACGGTGGCCACATAAGGTACAAATGTCCCAATTTAAAAATATGATGGTCAACGAAATCTGTTAAAACGTATTTGCTTTTGTTGTTAAATAATTGCAACCTATTTTTAAACACGATAAAATTCATGATTAGCAGTAAATATGCTAATTTGATTGATTTTTTTATATTTGTATTTTGTGGCTCACACATTAGATTGAACTTCGTGGAAAACTATCACGTCATTTAGTTGTGGTTATTAATGTTTTTGTTGTTATACTGATGCTTAAGCACTTGAGGCAATACAAAATAATTAATCTTAACTCTGACAAATTGCACGTCACAAGCAACAACATTTGCACAGTTACACATGTGATTAAACAGTTTTATTGTTGTCCACTAAAATAAAGAAAACTAATTTGCATATGACGACAAACACACACACACACACACACTCCTGCATACACACACACACACACACACATACTCTAACTTTGATGTTATGTAACATCGAACATGCTAATTTCTCAGTGTGTCTAACCTCTGAATGTGTACAAAATGAATGATCTTCAAAGTAGCTTTGTAAATATTTACATAGTCAATGCATATATCAGTAAACGTACTGCACTATTGTCTGTCTGCCACATTAGTTATCCCGATGGGGATGATGAGAGATGAGCAGCTTGTATAGGTGCCTAATTGACTGACCAATTAATGAGATTATATTTTGATCTAATCATTTATAGTCTGCACCTTAGTTGTACATAAAAAATGCCATCTGTCAGTGGTCTCCAAGTGTCCTGGCATGCGCGATGAGGTTAGTATATGGTATTTATTCAAAAGATTCAAATACTGATTCTTATTGTTATTTATTCATAATGTAGCAGCTAGCCAAAGTGGAAGTGGTGCCGGCCGGCCAGAGATTCAATGTGAATGTGCCGCATCGGTTTATGGTGCACAATTATAAGCGATTTACATTCTGCGATCATTGCGGTTCGCTGCTCTACGGACTCATCAAGCAGGGACTGCAGTGCGAGACATGTTACATGAACGTCCACAAGCGGTGCCAGAAGAATGTGGCCAACACGTGCGGCATCAATACCAAGCAAATGGCCGAGATACTCAGCTCGCTGGGCATCTCGCCAGATAAGCAGGGGCAGCAGCCGCGACGCTCCAAATACTTGAGTCAACCCGGTGGCGAGGATAATTATGGCGCCTCGCTGGGAGGCGAGGGTGGCGACAATGTGCCGGGCGCCTCATTTCGCAGCAGCGCATTGTCGGTCGACAGTTTGGCCACGTCGACGACTACGCTGACCAGCGGCTACAATAGCAGCAGCTGCATGAGCATAACCGTGGGCGCTGGAGGAGGTTCGCGACCTGGCAAATGCTCACTGCTTGACTTTAACTTTATCAAGGTGCTGGGCAAGGGATCGTTTGGCAAGGTGATGCTAGCCGAGAAGAAGGGCTCCGATGAGATTTATGCCATTAAAGTGTTGAAGAAGGATGCGATCATCCAGGACGATGATGTCGACTGCACAATGACAGAAAAACGCATCCTGGCCCTGGCCGCCAATCATCCATTTCTCACGGCGCTACATTCGTGTTTTCAAACTCCAGATCGATTGTTCTTTGTCATGGAGTATGTGAACGGTGGTGATCTAATGTTTCAAATACAAAAGGCGCGTAGATTCGAGGCGGCCCGGGCCGCATTCTATGCGGCGGAGGTGACGCTCGCCCTGCAGTTTCTGCACACCCATGGTGTCATCTATCGCGATCTGAAGCTGGATAACATACTGCTCGACCAGGAGGGCCATTGTAAGCTCGCTGACTTTGGCATGTGCAAGGAGGGCATCATGAACGGCATGCTGACCACGACATTCTGTGGCACACCCGACTACATCGCTCCCGAGATACTCAAAGAGCAAGAGTACGGCGCCTCTGTCGACTGGTGGGCGCTCGGCGTACTCATGTATGAGATGATGGCCGGTCAACCGCCATTCGAGGCTGACAATGAGGATGAACTTTTCGACTCGATCATGCACGATGATGTGCTCTACCCGGTCTGGTTGTCCCGCGAAGCCGTGTCCATTTTGAAGGGTAAGCTCCTAAAACACTTACATAATTATTAACTTTACAACATTAATATAAAACTCATATCGACTTTAGGCTTTCTCACCAAGAATCCTGAGCAGCGTTTGGGCTGCACCGGCGATGAGAATGAAATCCGCAAGCATGCTTTCTTCAATAAACTAGACTGGAAGGAGCTGGAGAAGCGGAACATAAAACCACCATTCCGACCTAAAATGGTAAGTATATAAAGAACTAAAACCAAACAAAGAAAACGAGATAAGAAATCTAATTCACCATCTACGTGCAGAAAAATCCACGGGATGCCAACAATTTTGATGCCGAATTTACCAAAGAGGAGCCGGTGCTAACACCAATTGGTAATGATGTCATCGTTTGCATTAATCAGGACGAGTTCGCCGGCTTCTCATTTGTCAATCCCAAATTTGGGCCAGAGCGCAAGGTGTTTTAATGCGGCGTCCTCTGGATGATTGGATGGATATGCGCTTGATGTTAGCGGGAGATCGACCAGCAAACTTGGATAAGTCGAAATTTGAAGCACAGGGCAATTTGTTGTCGGGTTTTAAATGGTTGCAGCCCTATGCGACTATCTCTTACCCCATTCCTAGACCTAGCTTATCCCTAGCTCTTAAACCTAAAACTTTGCTTCCGTTGAACAATTTGTTTGAACGCTTTATTGTTGTCTGTTTCCAGTTGTCGTCTTTTATCATTTTAAAGTTATTTGTTTATTCGTTTTAAGTTATCTGTTGGAATTTACAAAAGCGAAACTCTTTAAAAAAAAAAAAACAAGAAAACAAAAAAAATCACAACTAAAAAGCAATTGCATAAAGAAAATGATTGGAGAGATCGCAATTTATATATAGATAGAAACGATTATATATCACGTATTCGGGAAGCGCGTAGAAAATCCTACAGTCGTCAACTACGACCAGTGCCAATAAACAATTAACTATAAATTGTATGCATAGACGTACGCACACACACACACAACCACACATGAGTACAAACACACACACCCATACACACACACACGAAATTATTGTTATGAATTTGTTTATATTATTCATATATTATTTATCGCTGTCTATCAGTCTATTTTAAAATCCTTTGCTTTTGCTCGTGTTAATGCTCAAAGCTAGGCGCTATTTTTGCAGCTTACCCAACCTATACCCCAGTACGATATAACATTAATATTATTACGTTGATTGCCCAAAAAAAAAGAAAGAGAAATCAACAAAGAAGCCCTGATCTAGTCAATGTTGTTGCAAATGCAGCGCCATGTTTTTTGTTATTAGTTTTTTATTTATTAACGTGCCGAATCTCAAGTTTCGCACCCAAATGCAGACAACATCGCAACAGCGCTGTCCACAGCGAATCTCAAGAGAATGTCACAACAGGCAATAAAATAAGCCGTCTGTATACACACACACACACACGCACACACACAGGCACACACACAAAGACAAATACACGCACACAGACAGACAGACAGACAGACACACAAGAAAATACGATTAAAATATATTAACTAACTTAATGCGTATTCGAACTCTTGCACAATTTCCTTCTCAAGTATTAAAGCGATATTATTTTAAAATTAACTTATTGTTATACATACATACAAACATAATATTATAACAACAAAATGAAATACAAATTATAAATAAATAAAAATGCAATAAAACCAAAAAAAAAATATGCAAACACAAGCAACAAAAACACACACAAAAACAACACAAATGCAGAAAATAAAACAATAACACTAAACTAAAAAAAAAAGAAAAAAAGGAGAAAAAACACAAAGCTTAGTCGTAAGATGAGAGCAAACTTTCAAGTAAAACAAAAACATTTCTAAATTCATATACATATATATTTTATGTAACACAAAATATATAAATACAAAAACAAAATGTGTTTAGTGGATAAGTTGGAGAAAATATAATATTTCAGTAAAGTATAACTATATATTATATATATATATATGGTTTATATATGTGTGTGTATATATATTAAATAATTAACTACATATATTTTAATATATATATATACATATATAAATATGTTCATAGAGTTAAAATAGTATATGTGAAATATGATGCAGTTAATGCTGTACAAAAACAAAGCAACAACAAAACAGAACACCGCTAATTCATATAATAATACCAATATTAAATAATAATAATAATAAATATATATGTGTTGATTTTAAAACCAAAGACTCAAACAACAAATACAATTTGCATACAAACATGAAATCAACATAGAAACAATAACAATAAACAGAAACCATTTTAACTGATGCACTATGTGCTCAGTTGAATATATGGCATCGAAATTTGTTAGTTTTGATTTATTGATTTGCATCAATCAAGTCAAATGTGTTTTTTTTTTAAATTGTTTTTAACGTACGTTGTTCTGAAAGAATCTAAATTGATCTTTTTGAAATAAACTCCACGATTCTTGTGCTGCATTTACAGGAGCACAAATTGTTTGCCGAATACTAAGTTTGATAAATTTGTATGCAAAAATTACAGTATAGCAAAAATTACTAATTCTAAGCAACATTGTTAACTAAACAAAACGCAAAAAGAAAAAACAAAAACAAAATGAAAATGAAAACTTTGTATGTAATGATAATAACAAAGCCCAAATGTGTAATAGTAATAATAATAATAATATTTATGAAATAGTAGCAAGCAGAGCGCCAGCGCTAGTTACCAATTTAAATGTTAACCTCAAGTATTCTCAAAGCCGCATTTTACTAAACCAAAATGAAGACAGGATAAATGTAAACGATGTATGAACATTATATAGATACAACCACTAGTTCGACAATGCAGTTGTCATAGCGATGAACAAATTTACATACGGATCCAGCCAGCATACATACAAACAAACATACATATTTCATATACATATTAGTATATAACTATGAAATCGCCTCGTTCGAGGTACAAGCAAACAAAATACAAAAATTGTTGGTTGTTACCGAATTTGAAGCGCATTGTGAAATAAGATACAAAAAAAAAAAAAAAAAAAACCAAATGTAACGCGTAACCTGAATTAAAAACTAAATGCAAATCGTACACAGAGAGAAAACAAGTTGAAACCCGAACTTTAGCTGTAAAATCATTTAACAAATATGATGTATTTGCAAATATTTGCCAGCATAGCCAAAGTGTAGAGCAAAAGTTGATACTAAATTCTAACGCATTCGTTTGTCTGGTTAATAACTGCATTGACAAGAAGAAGCAAACAAAACATAACCATTGAGTGCACCCACAAGAAGAACCCTGTGCTTATCCACCCAAAACCACACAAGCCCACTCGCATTAGCTTGCCCAAACTGATAGCTGAGTTAGCTGTTGGCATTAGCTCTCAGCTAGTCGCAGACTCTGGCTCGGCTGGTGCACAACATTCTATTGAAATTAATGGTCTGAGCCATTGACATTCTCTTTCGAAATTGCCTAAAAATCATAACAACAACAAAATTGCAACTAGAAAATAGATTGAATTCGCTTGACTTCTACATATTCTGAAGTGCGGAACCTTTTGTAATATCAATCTTAGATACATAATACATACATATATACCCAAAGTCATATGCCACGCCTACAGATACACCTTTTTACGTACCTTCTGCAATTTAGATTCTACACACATAGACAACACTTAAACAGTAACAACAATAACATCAACAAATGCAAATTTAAAATCGTTAACTGATTTAAGACAAAGCAAATCAGAAAATAGAAATTACTCACTGAAAGTATATTGAATAAATGGACAAAAAGTATTGAAAACCCACATAATTATATTGAGCAAAAAGAAAAGCATAAATAATGTTTAAGTTATATTTAATGAAAAGAATAAATAAGTTACAAAGAAAAGTCAAAAGCCAACAGTTGATATGTTGTAAAAAAGAAAAAAAAATGAACTAAGGGAAGACAGTGAGTGTTATTCAAGCAACTAAATAAATGGTAACAAATGTAAGATGAAAGTGAGGAAAGATAACCAAAGAAAACAAAATTACTAAAATTGATTATAATTTTAAGTGAAGATTTAATGAAAAAAAAAAAACTAATTAATAAATAAACAGGTAACACCTATAAAAATGTATCATTCGGCTTTATTTGAATATTTGTATCTCTATATTTCTATCTGATTTTCAAAAATAACAGCGCGCCAAAATTGCTATCTGGCAACGCTACAGAAGCGAATGCAGCCCTGGCCCGGCCACATGGTAGCCAGAATAAAGGAGCAAAGAAGACAAAGAAAAACAAATTTACACTGCAACAGCCGTAACTAAATAATTGTGCATTATTAACATTATTTGACGATGCCAAAGGTGAAAACAGAAAAGAAAAGTCGCATACACCATGAAGTGCAAAAGCAAGGTAACAAATTACAGCAATACACATATATGAAAGAGCTCCCACAATAAAAAGCACTTGTTCGGCAGGCATTGTGTTCAACAAGGATTTTGGCCAGCATATATTGAAGAATCCCTTGGTCATAACTACAATGTTGGAGAAGGCGGCACTGCGTGCCACCGATGTGGTGCTAGAAATCGGTCCCGGCACAGGCAATATGACTGTGCGAATGCTGGAGCGTGCCAAGAAGGTAATTGCCTGTGAAATCGATACACGTCTGGCGGCCGAGCTACAAAAACGTGTCCAGGCCACACCACTACAGCCCAAGCTGCAAGTGCTCATCGGTGACTTTCTGAAGGCGGAGCTACCCTTTTTCGACCTGTGTATTGCCAACGTGCCGTATCAGATCAGTTCGCCACTGATATTCAAGCTATTGTTGCATCGTCCGCTTTTCCGCTGTGCCGTCCTGATGTTCCAGCGTGAGTTTGCGCAGCGTTTGGTGGCCAAGCCGGGCGATAAGCTCTATTGCCGTTTGAGCGTCAATACGCAACTATTGGCACGCGTCGACATGCTGATGAAGGTGGGCAAAAACAATTTCAAACCGCCGCCCAAAGTAGAGTCGAGTGTGGTGAGACTGGAGCCAAAGAATCCACCGCCACCCGTCAATTTCACCGAATGGGATGGCCTCACCCGCATCGCATTTCTACGTAAAAATAAAACGCTAGCAGCGACATTCAAAGTGAACTCTGTGATGGAAATGCTCGAAAAGAACTACAAATTATATCGCTCACTGAGGAATGAGGTATGTTAAATGCCTTATATCATTATATATAATTGTTTTCAATTATGTTTTTCACTTGCAGCCACTTGAGGAGAACTTCAATATACAGGAGAAAATCATTGGCATACTAGATGAGCAGGGCATGGGGCAATCACGAGCGAGATCTATGGACATTGATGAATTTATGCGACTACTGTTGGCTTTCAACTCGGCTGGCATACATTTCAACTGAATTGCTTTAGAGTATCGTTAATTGTTTAATATAACTAATTTAAGGGAACAAGTTCGTAACTATCGTTATCTTTGTATGCATACAAATACAAAATGTTACACACAAACAGATCAGCGTCAATATTGTAATCGTTGTATGAATTTGGGTTAAAAAGAGAGCGCTTGAAAAAAGAGAGAGAGAGTTGTGTTTCCGCTGTTGTGAGCAGCGTTGCTTTCAGCGAGTTAATCAATCGATTCGATTCGTTTGTTGATCAGTCGCTCCCGGATCTTGTTTAAATAAAGTTCAAATCGTCGCATAGATAATGCGAACAATGGGGCAGATTACTTCTGTTCGTTTGTTGATTCTAACGATTTTGTTCGTGACATCACTTGTACTTGGACAAGATCCGGATCCAGTTGTGAAGGAGGGTAAAAACTATTGGCTGTTATCTTTTGTATTATTATCTAAGCAACACATCAATTTCCCAGCTTGTACGCAGTTCAAACGCAGTGTCTTCGAGGAGAGAGTACCATTTAGTCACTTTTTTGCAAATGCGCCCATTTCTTGGGAGACGATTGATTCCTGTGATGGCTCACGGCCGCTAATTGTGGGCGGCTCACCTGCCGACCCCAAGGAGTTTCCACACATTGCACGCTTGGGCAATCGGAATGCAACTGACAATACAACCAAATGGTTCTGTGGCGGCACATTGATTAGCAATCGTCTCGTGCTAACCGCCGCCCATTGCCTTTACTCGGAAAAGTACGTATGTAACGCATTAAGCGGCATGCTTATTAATTGTCACGACGTTTCAATGATCTTAATCTCTATGGTGCAGCGGTGAAGTGAACGTTGTGCGCTTGGGTGAGTTGGACTTTTCCACCGACAAGGATGATGCCGACCCCGAGGACTTTGGTGTGAAAGCCCCTATAGAGCATCCAGATTTTAATTACCAAATGCTTTATAATGATATCGCCCTTCTACAATTGGATCGTATCGTAAATTTTAATTTCTACAAGCATCCAGCTTGCCTACCTTTCAAAACGGGCGCGGCGAGCAAAACCTTCATTGCCATTGGTTGGGGGGACAAAAAGTTTGCCGGCCGGCCGTCTGAAGAGCTGCGTAAAGTGCAGCTCAACAATTTCGGGAATCGGTGCTCCACAATCGACGTTGACGAGCTACCCAATGGCTATAATTCAAGCACACAGATATGCATTGGATCCAGCGAGAGGAAGGACACTTGCTCCGGTGACTCTGGTGGCCCCCTGCTAAACTATCATGAGGAGTATCCGTGCATGTACCATGTGATGGGCATCACCTCATTTGGCACTGGATGTGGCACACCCAATGTGCCCAGCATCTATACACTCGTGCATTTCTACTTGGATTGGATCAAAAAGGAGATGGCTAAAAACAATTAAAAGTACTATTGACAAGAACAAATTTGGAAAACCATTTACTTCGTAGTTATTCGCCTCATTTGAATATTTCAAAATGAAATAATAATAATTGTAATCTCTAAAATCCATTTTATTCGCATTTATTTAACACAGAACGGCTTATGCAAGGAATAATTAGTAGCACAGGGATTAGGAGGAAATGAGAAGAAGTAATGAGACGGTCTAGATGGAACAGAAAAGAACAGAAAAGAAACTCAAAGCAATGAAGAATCGATGTATAATTCAAAAAATATCTGAGCAACCCTCAATATGAGAAATAAAAACGGGAATTCCCAATCTATCAATATATAAACTTATGTCATATATGAAAATAAAATTGCAAGCACAAATATAAAAGTTTATACCTAGGTACAATCAAATACTGCACTCAAAGAAAAAGGGCGATGATATTTCCACAACAAATTATTGCAGCGGACTTCTAAGAAGGAAACAAAATAATTATCCACATAAGCATTGTATTTACAATAATAACGAAAACGAAAGTGTCTTTGAACTGCGGTAGTTTTTTTTCCCTGTGCACAAGTATCAATGATTATTGCAATTCTGAGAACGAGATTTTTCATCTTATCAATAAAACCTATTGGCCTTTATACATTTGTGCATATTTGCAAATATATATATATATGTATGCACATATGAATCTTTGTATATTTCCAGAAATTAACAGACCGAAAACACACCTTGAACCTCTCCGAGCAGCAGTTGTATTTTGGCATAATATTGAGTCGGATATGATTAGCAGCAGCGACTGGCGGCTGTCTTATTATTGATTAAAATGCAAATAGTGAATTATTTGAAAAGCGATTTTCATTTAAAATCGTTGTGGTTGCTGGCAATTCTGACTATTAACTTAGTTGAGCGACATTTGACATTTGCTCAAGATTCAGAGATCGTCAGTTGTAAGCAATCAGATAGAAAATTATAATTTATATAGAAATATAAATATAATATATATATATATATATGTGTATATTGACTGATATTTGTTTTTAAATCTCTAACTCTCTTCCACAGCATGTACTAGATACGAAGAGAGCGTCTTTGATCTACAGGATGGATACAGTTTCCTCTTGCGAAATGATCCGATTACCAAAAAATCGTTTGATACTTGCCACCACTATATTGTTGGGGGTACGCTGGCCAAGCCGAAGGAGTTTGCACCCATGGCACGGCTGGGTTATCGTAATGCTGACAATGAAACCAAATGGTTTTGTGGCGGCACATTAATCAGCAATCGTCTGGTGCTAACTGCTGCCCATTGTCTCTACTCGGAACTGTAAGTGGGGTAAAAGGCGGAAAGCTACAATTCTAATCTATAATCCCATCTGCACTTGAAGCGGTGCCGTTAATGTGGTACGCTTGGGTGAGCTGGACTTTAATAGCGACACGGAGGACGCACAGCCCGAGGACTTTGGTGTGCACAACTCGACCGAGCATCCCGACTTTGAATATGGTCTGCTGTATAATGATATTGCTCTGCTGGAGCTGGATCGCGGGGTGCGATTCAGTGCCTATAAGCATCCAGCTTGTTTGCCCTTCAATGATGACAGCAATTCTATGGAGACCATCATTGCCATTGGCTGGGGTCACACCACAACTGCGGGCAGTGACTCGAGCAAGCTGCTCAAGGTGAAACTAACTGGAGTTGGTGTGAATTGCACTGCCATCGCCATTGATATTGACGAGCTGCCCAATGGCTTTAATGCAACCACACAGATATGCCTCGGATCCAGCGATAGCAAGGACACCTGCAACGGTGACTCCGGCGGTCCAACGCTCATTTACCATAAGGAGGATCCGTGCATGTATCATGTGATGGGCATCACCTCAGTGGGTATTGGATGTGGCACACCCAATGTGCCTAGTATCTATACGCGGGTCCATTTTTATTTGGATTGGATCAAAAAGGAGATGGCTAAAATCAATTAAAATTACTATTGACAAGAACAAATTAGGAAAACCATTTACTTCGTAGTTATTCGCCTCGTTTGAATATTTCAAAATGAAATAATAATAATTGTAATCTCTAAAGTTCATTTTATTCGCATTTATTTATTTAATGTCAGCTGAAGCCAGTCGACACTGAAAAAAGTCAAAAAGTAATAACTAAAATATATTAAATTAATTTACTTAAAAAATTAATTTTATTATTAAATTTCAATTTTAAAAATATAAAATATTTAAATGATTTTTGGAGATATTTAAATTCGAAATGTTCCTTCCATTGTTGCATGGATTGGGAAAATCACAGAAAAATCACAATCAGATCAATAAATAGTTAGTTTGACTAAAGATGTATTGTAATCATTATAGATAACACAGAACGGCTTATGCAAGGAATAATTAGTAGCACAGGGATTAGGTGGAAATGAGGAGAAGTAATGAGACGGTCTAGATGGAACACAAAAGATCGTCAGAAAAGTCAATTATATATAACAAATTTAACAAACTTAGACACAGAAACAAAGCAATGAAGAATCGAAGTATAATTCAAATAAATATCTGAGCAACCCTCAATATGAGAAATAAAAACGGGAATTCCCAATCTATCAATATATAAACTTATGTCATATATGAAAATAAAATTGCAAGTACTAATATAAAAGTTTATACCTAGGTACAATCAAATACTGCACTCAAAGAAAAAGGGCGATGATATTTCCACAACAAATTATTGCAGCGGACTTCTAAGAAGGAAACAAAATAATTATCCACATAAGCATTGTATTTACAATAATAACGAAAACGAAAGTGTCTTTGAACTGCTGTAGTTTTTTTTCCCTGTGCACAAGTATCAATGATTATTGCAGTGCTGAAAACGAGATTTTTCATCTTATCAACAAAAGCCTTTATAAATTTGTGTATATTTGCTAATATATATATATATATATATATATATATGTATGCACATAACAGTCTTTGTATATTTCTAGAAATTAACAGACCGAAAACACACGTTGAACCTCTCCAAGCAGCAGTTGTATTTTTGCATAATATTGAGTCGGATGTGATTAGCAGCAGCGACTGGCGGCTGTCTTATTATTGATTAAAATGCAAATAGTGACTTATTTGAAAAGCGATTTTCATTTAAAATCGTTGTGGTTGCTGGCAATTCTGACTATTAATTTAGTTGAGCGACATTTGACATTTGCTCAAGATTCAGAGATCGTCAGTTGTAAGCAATCAGATAGAAAATTATAATTTATACAGAAATAAAAAATATATATATATATATATATGTGTATATTGACTGATATTTGTTTATAAATCTCTCTCTCTCTTCAACAGCATGTACTAGATACAAAAAGAGCGTCTTTGATCTACAGGATGGATACAGTTTCCTCTTGCTAAATGAGCCGATTACCAAAAAATCGTTTGATACTTGCCACAGCTATACGCGACTAATTGTTGGGGGTACGCCGGCCGAGCCGAAGGAGTTTGCACCCATGGCACGGCTGGGTTATCGTAATGCTGACAATGAAACCAAATGGTTTTGTGGCGGCACATTAATCAGCAATCGTCTGGTGCTAACTGCTGCCCATTGTCTCTACTCGGAACTGTAAGTGGGGTAAAGGGCGGAAAGCTACAATTCTAATCTATAATCCCATCTGCACTTGAAGCGGTGCCGTTAATGTGGTACGCTTGGGTGAGCTGGACTTTAATAGCGACACGGAGGATGCACAGCCCGAGGACTTTGGTGTGCACAACTCGACCGAGCATCCCGACTTTGAATATGGTCTGCTGTATAATGATATTGCTCTGCTGGAGCTGGATCGCGGGGTGCGATTCAGTGTCTATAAACATCCAGCTTGTTTGCCCTTCAATGATGACAGCAATTCTCTGGAGACCATCATTGCCATCGGCTGGGGTCACACCACAATTGCGGGCAGTGACTCGAGCAAGCTGCTCAAGGTGAAACTAACTGGAGTTGGTGTGAATTGCACTGCCATCGCCAATGATATTGACGAGCTGCCCAATGGCTTTAATGCAACCGCACAGATATGCATCGGATCCAGCGATAGCAAGGACACCTGCAACGGTGACTCTGGCGGTCCAGTGCTCATCTACCATAAGGAGTATCCGTGCATGTATCATGTGATGGGCATCACCTCATTGGGTATTGGATGTGGCACACCCAATGTGCCTAGTATCTATACGCGGGTGCATTTTTATTTGGATTGGATCAGACAGCAGATAGAGCGAATCTCTTGAATGTCTTGAGTTTCTTGAAATTAATATTTAGCTAATTGTAAGAGTTGCATTGATATGTGGAAAGAATTAAACAATTTGTTGTTAGAACAGCGTGTTAACTAACTACATAGCTATTAACTAATCGGCTGATTATTGATAACCAATCTCAGCCTTTGTTCCCATCCCAGTATGAGTGAGAGAATGCCAGTGTGTGTGTGTGTGTGTTTAAACCTGTTCGGCGAGATAGATAGAGAGCGGACTTACTTAAAGATAGATGTGCTCGTTCGATTCGAGGCATTCTGTTGTGCCCGCAAACCGGTTAGCAAGGCGTATTTGGTAAACAAATTAAAACTTGAGGATGTGGCCAGCAACGTTGTTGCTTTTTCTTCTCCCATTTAGCCAGATTTTGGGCCATTTAAATGAAACTGTCAACTGTAAGTAAGAATCCCAATCCCAAATGCGGCAAAAAACATTTCATTTGAGCGGAGTTTTGCAGCCTGCACCGATTATAAGAAGCGCATCTTTGAGAAGTCGGAGGATTATAGTTACCTACTCCCCGATGCGCCCATTGTACGTAAGACAATTGACAATTGCCGCCGATATTCGCCACTGATTGTCGGCGGTAAGCCGGCCGATCCCAAAGAGTTTCCACCAATGGCACGACTGGGACATCGACAGGAAGGGAACACCGCCTGGTTCTGTGGCGGCACTCTAATTAGCAACAGATTCGTTCTGACCGCTGCCCATTGCTTCGATTCGGAGGAGTGAGTAAATAATGCTGATAAAATGGCACTCATTGCACTCATGTGGCTTCAAAAATGTCAATTTCAGCGGTGATGTGAATGTGGTTCGATTGGGCGACCTGGACTTTGATAGTGACAAGGACGATGCGGCGCCAAAGGACTACGCTGTTGCCGATAACATACGGCATCCAAATTTTACGAGCACCGAGCTTTACAATGATATTGCTTTGGTTAAACTGGCGGAGGATGTTCGCTTCGATCAATACAAGCATCCAGCGTGTATGCCTTTTGAGACTGGCCAAAACATGGATTCCTTCATAGCCATCGGTTGGGGCAGCACTCGCTTAGCGGGCCAATCCTGGTCGCAGTTGCTAAAAGTCAAACTCGATCGGATCGGAGATGAGGTTGAATTATATATATATTTATTTTTCATATATAAGCATTAATAGATTCTTTAAATTCCCTTCCGCGTCCAGGTGTGCCGCAGAGTAATTGAGGAGAGCGACGACTATCCGCTTGGATTCGAGACGAGCACTCAGATGTGCGTGGGTTCCTCCGAGTCGAAGGATACCTGTAACGGTGACTCGGGTGGACCGATTCTAGTTTATCACAAGGACTATCCTTGTATGTACCACATTATGGGCATTACGTCGGCCGGAATTGCCTGCGGTACACCCAAAATACCCAGTGTTTACACGCGGGTTCATCATTACTTGGATTGGATTATGACAGTTATGGCTAATAATAAGTAATTATTATCAAATGTTTACCCAATATTTTTCATAATTACTCTAATTTAAATCACCATTCATACATAATTAATCATAATGAAATAAATTTAATTTCATATTCGGTATTTTGTGTTCAGTTGAAATATGACTGGTGTTCATTTTTGACTGTCTGGCAACGCCCGTCTTGACTCTTAGGGATGTACCCAGTGTGGGGAGGCACTGATGTTTTCATAATTTTTATTGACAGCTAATAGTTATTTAAATACATTACTTGCAGTATTGATTTAATTTGTTTGTACATGTACTTCGCACAACCTGCAATAATTAATACTCTAAATGCATATAACATATTAAGCCCAGCATTTTTGGCATGTGAACAGTTACTCTGTGCTACTCGCTACAATTAAGTACTCGCCACAAGTAACTGAAAACAAAAATATCGCACATCACTATTGTTGTTTACAAAAAAAAAAAAAAAAAAAAAAACGTTAATTTAAGTTGTGGAAAAACAACAAGAACTAAAAACGCCAAGATGTCGACAAAAACGGTGACAAATAAAATGTAAACAATTGACTAGGTTTTATATATAAACAATTAACGTGTTTGCTGCCCGGACGTCGGCGCGCTGCATTTGCGCTGTGCTTTAATTCCTTTCCCTTTTTAACGTGCGTTTGCGACGCACATTAATACACATGTATGTCGAATTGAGTCCAAAATCAAACAGTTTGGGCACAAACATGGAGCCGGATGACGAACTGCAGCCAGTCGTTTCCGATGCAGTCGTGCAGTCATATAAGACGCGGGCCAAAATGAATCCGGCGAAGAAAGATAACGAGAAACGGCGACGCAAGGATGCCATGCGAAAGGTAATTAACATGCATGTGTGTGTGTGCCTCCTGTGTGTGTGTGTGTGTGTCTGTGTATTGTGTTTGTGGCTTGCAAATGAATATTTATTTGTATAAATATATATATATTTATGTGTGTGTGTGTATGTATATGCATGTGTGTGTACAGTGGTTAAATTGCAAATGAAATCAAAGTTAATTATAAATCGCAAATATCAATAACTAAAAAGATAAGTTATTTATAGCTTGATAAAAGTCACCAGCAAGTTATAATTATCAAGCATAAATTATTGATTGAGTGCTTTTTAATATACATCTAATATAATTTGTATAGGTTTCGCTGATTTTACGCAAATGCGACTCACTGCGCACCGTTGAGGATCGCCAGTTTCTGGAGAAGCATCCCGACATTGTGAAGACCACAAAGAAACGCAAGGAGCGCATCGAGATTTACAAGGAGCGCATCGTTGAGAAAGAGGATGAGCCGCACGTGATCGAAGCGAAGGTGGAGCAGCTGGCCAATATCATATCGCAAGCGAAACATTTGATTTGTTATACTGGCGCCGGCATCAGTACAGCGGCCTTGATACCCGATTATCGAGGTAGCCAGGGCATCTGGACGCTGCTGCAGAAGGGCAAGGATATTGGGGAGCATGATCTGTCTAGCGCCAATCCCACCTACACCCATATGACGCTCTTCGAGCTGCACAGACGCCGCCTGCTGCGGCACGTCGTCTCGCAGAATTGCGATGGACTGCATCTGCGCTCGGGTCTGCCGCGACAATCGCTCTCCGAGATCCACGGCAACATGTATGTGGAGGTGTGCAAGCACTGCAAACCAAATGCGGTCTACTGGCGTCAGTTCGATGTCACCGAAATGACAGCACGCTATTGCCACAAGACGCATCGGCTGTGCCACAGATGTTCGGAACCTCTGTATGACACGATTGTGCATTTTGGGGAGCGAGGCAATGTGAAGTGGCCACTGAACTGGGATGGGGCCACCCGCAATGCGGAGCGAGCGGATGTTATACTCTGTTTGGGTTCCAGTCTCAAGGTGCTCAAGAAGTACACATGGCTCTGGCAGATGGACAAGCCGGCACGGCAACGGGCCAAGATCTGTGTGGTGAATCTGCAGTGGACGCCCAAAGATAGCATAGCCAGCATCAAGATCAATGGCAAGTGCGATAGCGTCATGGCGCAATTGATGCGACTGCTCAACATAACGGTGCCCGTGTACAGCAAGGAGAAGGATCCGATTTTTGCACATGCCACGCTCCTAATGCCCGAGGAGCTGCACACACTGACGCAGCCGTTGCTTAAGAATGCCCACGAGGAGGAGGCGGGCGATACCCAATCCTGCACAACGACAACCGAGGAGACACAGGACTCGACCATTTCCGGGGATAGCTACAGTGAACTGCCAATTGGAAGGGGACCACGCATTCGGACACCCATCAAGAATGGACGACGCATCAAGACGAATCTGGAGATGAGGCAAAAGTATGCACGGCCAGTGCTGGCGGTGACCACCGACAGCGTCAGCCTGGAGAATGGTCTGCCGGTGAAAACGGAAGTGGACCCCGTAACAGATGAGCCGGACATTAAAGTCAAGACTGAAACGGATCTGAAACTGGAGCCTAAGGAGGAGCTGGAACTGCTTGCGCCCAGTCTAGACACAACTTGCATAAAGCAGGAGCAGAAGGAGGTGGAGGAGGAGCTGCTGCCCAAGCTGGAGCCGTCTAGCGAAATCACAAATGGACACCAGCAAGCTGCCAAAAATGGTCTTCTGGAGCTGCCTAAACTAGTCGCCATACAGAAACCCTATGTGGATGTGAACAGTTGTCCGGGCCTGTGCCTGCTGCCTGTGGAGCTGCGGCTAGAACCGCGCCTGGAGCCCAGTTTAGGCAGTTTGCCGCCGGTACAGCTGCCACCGCTGGTGCCCATTGGTGCACCACTCTACACGCCCTTCGTGCAGCCGCAATCGCAGCCGGTGTTGCCGCCATCGCTGCAGACGCTCAATCTGCAAAGCGATAGCACCACTTGCTCCGCAGAGTCAACCACAGAGAATGATGACGATGATGACAGGGATGTCGAGGAAGAGGAGGAGGATGAGGAGGAGAATGATGATGAGGACGATAAGGAACCGTTTCATATGTCACAAATGGATTTGCTGCGACGTCACAGCGATCACGAGCTACTGCGTCAACTACCCAGCTGGTATGATGCGAAATATGCGTATTCGGGTCTGCACAGCATTTTGATACCGCCGCCATCTGATCTCAACATCTGGAACTCACAGGTGGTGCCCAGTTTCGCCATGAATCGTTCCGCCGCCGGCTGTGAGTTCTGTTTAGATCGCTATGCGGAACTCGAGTGCCAATTCTATCGTCGCTGGCATCTCGCCCAGCGGAACCATAAGAAACGTGCCCGCAGCGGTCGCTTCGTTGTCTGCGAATGCTGTCCCACTAGCGACGATGACGATGACTACGATGAGAACATCTCGCTGGCCCACATTGCCGCCGCCGAGACGGCCAAGCGTCGCCTGCAGCTGAGCCACAGTTTTCCACGCAAACTCGCCCGCACCCAGGCTGGCTGGTATGGCAAGGGCTATAAGAAGGGACGCAAGCGCAGATAGAGCAGATCTGCGGATCTGTCCGGGATATGGATGACACGAAGCCACCTTGTCCTCGCTTCTAATAGTATTCGAGCATAGTCTAGTAGCTGTAATCATAGGCATATATGGATAGTATTATAAGTATCTAGCTCGTAGTGCCACTCGCATTAGGTGTTCGTCTAGGCTTGTGGATCTTATTTCCACACTCACACACACCACTACACACACACACACACACAAAGAATGGGTGTTGTTTCATTTTTGTCAGTTGCAGCTCCTGCAATCCTTGGTCCAATTTAGTTTTAAGTGTATCCATTGCAGCTGCTAACATCTATGTACATTTTTTGTCATTTTACTCTTGACCAGTTTTGGTTGTTCTTTTTTGTATGTTTTCTGTGCATTTATCAGTCAGTTTTTTTAAAAATTATTTGTTCCTTCCTTTTGTTGCATGCCACGTTTTGATGCCTATTTATGTAAACAATAAAATGCAAGATATTAAGCAACCAGAGTTAAGAACGTGTTTGGTTTTTTGACACAACTCTTTTCAGACACCTCTCTTCGTTTGCAGCAGTTTTTAGTTTTAAAATGTTTACTAATTTCTATAGATCATATTTAATGGGTTCCAAATTTCGTTTAATTCAATTGAAAATGTTGTTTTTATAATTTTCCGAGAAAATGATAATTTTCTATCGGTTGTATACTTAATTTATTTAAAATACAATATATATGCTTTATAATTTCATTAACTTAAACATATAATATTGCTATTCTAGTTTTAGTTCTGCCATCGTATGTATAATTATGTCTGTTTGTGTGTGTTTGAGTGTGTGTATGTGTGTGTCTTTGAAGAGATTCAACTTGTAATGAAGTTAATCCGAACATTCCAATAGTTGTGATGGGGTATGGGAGATGGGGTGGATGTGTGTGTTTGGTTGTGAATGATTTTTCCAAAAAAAAAAAAGAGACTTTAAATAACCTAAGCAGTAACATAAACAAACAGGACACGTAAACGTGGAAAACAACAAAAGGCTATTTAGTTGGCGGCTACAAACAGGACTTAAAGACATATACCTAAGCTGCTAAGCCGAGCTGCCAAAACAATGCGAATATAATAAAATAATTACGAATTGACAAACATATAAAATTGTTGTGTTCTTCTTTTTCTTTTCCTTTAAAAAAAGAGCAATTTTGAAACATGCCCCAGGACGCAAAAGTCATTAAAAAAGAAACATTGAGAAAAGTGTGAGATAAAAAAGAGAAATTAAAATTGTTGGTTGGTTGTTTGATGAGTGGGAATGGATACTAGGCAAGGACGCAAAGGACGCATCACAGTTAGGCCACATAAATGAACATGTTGATGTCATCATCGTCGCGTCGCATATACTTGTGTTCGATAAGCCACTCGAGCTGCTCCTTGATCATCTTCTTCGATGGCAGGAACATGTTCTTCAGTATATCGATGAGCTCCGCCTGAACGAAAATAAGAATTATTATCCTTGCTCTGATAATTGGTATTATTTGGTATTTTGACTCACTTGGAGCGCCGCATTGTTCATGCGCTTGCGCACCTTCATAATCTTTATGATTGCCTCCTGGGTGCGCAGGATGCGCAGCTGGACAATGGACTGATTATCCTCCTGCTGCGAACGCTCCGTGCTCAGTTGAAGACGACCAATAAGATTTAACTGCAGCAAAAAAAGACAATTTCAATCAATTTCCTAGTTCATAGGTCGATGCAAGTGATTAATCACCTTGCCACGACGCTGTGATTTGCCATTCTTGACAATGGCAAACTCCTGATTGATATAAAACATGGTGTTCTCGGCAAAATCTTTGGGTGAATTGATCACCGTTGGCTCCATAAGCAGAATTTGCTTCTTGATCTTGGGAAAGGCGACCAGCGACCACAAAGTACGTCTCAGCTCCGGATCTGCAATGATATTTATATATTTAGTTATATTTCGCTTGTTGTTGATCTTAAGTGGTTTGCTCACCCGGCAGCTCGGTGGCCAGACGTAGATTCTCATAGGAGATTTTGTCGTGCTGCCGCTGATTCCAGGCAAAGAGCACGGCCATTTGAAATGTGGTCACATCGAGATCGTAGCGACCGAAATTGTTCACAAACGTGATGGTGCCATTGCTCATGTGATGATACCATTGCAGCTTACGGCCGGAATGCTTCTTCTTGTAGAACTCCTCCACATCGGGTATATAGTCCTCCAATTCAATGGGCAGCGATACAGAGACACGCTCCGAGCAGCGCGCCCACGCGCCAGCGTTGAGTATTTTAATATTGATGGCATCATGCCGACTTATCGAGTTACGGAATTGAGTATTCAGATCTTCGCTGACCTGTTGGTTGTTCAGCAAGAAAGCAATGTTAGTGATAAAGTAATCATTGGATGTGTGCTCAAATGGGACTCACCTTAATGTCCTGGAACATGCGTGCCAGTCTATTGACATAGTCAGCGGGCATGCCAACCTCGCGCAGCCATTCAACTATATCCTCCTCCTTTTCGCTGTCCGCGCTAGTGCCCAGTATTAAACTTGAAGAAGAAATATACATTTTAATCAGTTTTTTTTTTAGAAATAATTTCTGCGTATAAATTACAACAATTTTGATTGTCTTTATTTTTTTGCGAAATATCTGTTATTAAGAAATGCAATTGATTTTTAAACACTGTTCTTAGAAAAAATCCTGTCTGACAGAAGGTGGTATTAAAATGTGGTCTCTAGACTGTAATATCAAAGAATCTCGAGTTCGTTAGTTAGTTTTTTCAGATCAAGTAACACAAATAAATAAAATGCTCTATTATATACACATATAGGAAATTAGACATATATTTATTTTGAACTTAAGAGCACTGGATTTTAGAGAACCACTACCTTATTTTTAGAAATTTATACAATGACGTAAAACGTATAAATTTCTAAACAATCTCTGACAAGCTCTAAAGTTTCTTTATGATTTGAATTTCTTCAACTCCACCCAAAAATATGAACGTTTTATGGAATACGTTTGCTTTACATATTTATTGTGCCCAATTCCATTGACTATCAAAGCTCGCTTGAACCAAATGATTCCACGGCTCTAAGACTAATAAGGAAATCAAATTTTCAGGGTTTGAACAAGCCTGATTATAGAAATAGGTATTAAAGTAAAAACAATTTGGAGCACTATAAAATTCATCTTGCGATGAATCTAATTTTAAATTTGCAAAAGTAACTTTATAATGCAAAAGTAACTTTATAATATACGTCAATTTTTAAATAAATAATTTCAAACATTATTTTGGTGATATTGACTGGAATAGAAGTTTCGAAATGTTATTTCCAAGCAAAAATTGAAAGGAAAAATGGGAAAAACAGTCAAATGGACTTTTAACAATAAATTTGAGGAGATTGGGAAAGTTGTAAGTCTCTGTTTTTGGTATGCGTGTAGGAATCTCGTCCTGGTTATAAACTCACCGTCTCGTCAAATGCACCTTGTGGTAGCGCATGAAGACATCCTTGTTGTTGACATACTTTAGGACGAGCAGGACGTCGCGCAGACGTGCATCGATCTGCTCGCTGGTGAGCCGCTTGCTAAGCGGCGTGCGACGGAGGAGCATATCGCAATAGTTGGCCAGTAGCTCGGGACACTTGCTCTCAGGCGCTGTGTATTTGACGCCTCGATTGGCGATGCTTGTGGGCAGGTCCATTTTGAAGACGCTGGTGTCGTTGACGACCATCTTGAAGGCAATGTCGCGGGCAGTAAGGAACCGGGGATCATCGTTGAAGGCGTTGCGGACCAGGTCGCTAAACTTATTGAATAGCTCCAACAGTCGCTCCACATACTTCTCCGAGTCCTGGGTAATGATCTCCGAGGCGGACTGCATGTCGGCCAATCCAGCGGACTTGATATGACGCTGCAGATCGCCCATCATCGCCTCGACGCCCTCGCCATCGAGGACGCGATCCATCAAGCGAAACATCAGATTCAAACGCTCCGTCTCATAGTCCCGAATCAAAGCCGGACACTCGGCAATTATCGAATTGAGATGATCCACAATCAGCACCTTGACCAAACGGCAGGTGAGTATATTAAAGCTGCTCGGTTCCAGATAACGCTTGGCGCGCACCTCCTCCTCGCGCAGCTTGGCATCCGCATACTTCATGTACGCCAGTACGCCATTCTCTTGTTGCTGCTCCGCCGACTTGAGCCGATAGAAATCGGCGGTGGCCTTCAAATAGGCCTTCTCGAAGTGCTCGCGATAGATTTCTAGTTTGTCCTCCGAGTTGGACGACAGATTCACATAACTCTCACGCACCCCGACCACCAGCTGAGCATCGTAGGCATCACCGTTGCGTTCGGCGTGCACAATCTTCATGGCGGACTCCTGCAGGCGATCTTTGATGTCGTGAAAGATGTGCTTGTTCCACGAGTCGAGCATTAGCTTCCGCACCGGACTATCGTCGGTAGGGCCCTTCTTGGAGCTATTGGATGCGGATGTTGCCGAATTGCTGCCAGCTCCAGCACTGGTGGAGGCGCCACCACCACCACCAGTCGTGGTTGTGGCTGCTGACGATGTAGAGGCTTTTGTGGTAGAGGAACTACTCGAGGATGCTTGATTGCTGGACGACGACGAGGAGGCGCCGGCAGCGGCGCCGGCAGCGGTGACTGAAGAAGCGGCGGCAGCAGCAGCCGAATTCGAGGTGGATGCACCGGCTGAGGATGACGATGCGGAACTGGACGCTGGCGGCTTCACCTGCGGCGACTGCTCCAGCTGGCGAAAGGGCAGCGGCAGGTAATTGGACTGTGTGAAGAATTTACGCCATTCCACAATGTAGGTGGCCAAAAGGGCCTGTTCGCCGCGCTGCGCCTGAACCAAGGACTGCGCCTGCACAATGAACTGAACGATGTCCTGCTGGAGGCCATCGTAGATTTTTGTGGCGCCTTTCTCGTCCCAGAGGCAGACGTTGTGGACGCCATAGAAGAGATCCTGCCATTCGAGCTGCGATACGGTCTCCTGGCGCAGCAGCTTGAGCACAATTTTTCGCTTTTCTGGCCATTCCTCGTCGAAGATGTCTCTGTCCCGTTTGCCTATCGCCCGCAGCATTGTTGTGTGTTTGACGTCTCTTTGTCTTTGTCAATTATGGCGAACTATATCAAATCAAAATGTTTTGATCAAGAGAAACGCTAAATTTCCTCCGCCTATAAGCGGCCGATAATAGTTTTTTCGACCGATTTGTTGTTGCGAAAGTGCGATAACAATTGATAACATTGACCTAACATACCGATAATAGAGCTCAGCTGTTGTTCAACATAATCGATTAGCAAATCGATTGAGGTAAAATACAAAAATATACTGCGCACAATATATTGGTGTTTATCGGCTGAGTTAGAGTGACAGTGCAATAATAATTGGAAAACATATCGAATGCATCAATTGAACGTCTGGCAACGCTATGGCGGCAGTCTGATAACGTCTCGCGGTGAATGGCAGATGGAGCAGCTGCAAAATGCTTGCACGCACACACAGATAAAAAGTATAGTTTAAGTGCCAAGTGCTGCGCTGCGTGGTGCATGGAAAGTGCGGGAAATCGTTGCAACGAGACTGCCTTATAGTGTTAAGAGCAAACGCGCAAGTAATTAGGGAAAAGCAAAGTGCAATGACGAATGTCAGCCGCGTGAAGAAGACAGAAAATAGGCAACAAAATATTGGTGGCATGTTTTGTGAATTTCGTAAATCTCTCGTTCCGTTTTGCTTTTTTTCTTCTCTACCACAAAAAAGGGCGCGCGAGTGAGACGACAGTAGTGTGGCTGTCAAGCAGCAGCCCAGCAGCCATCTCGCCTACTCGCACGCAACGACTCACACGTCGCAGACTCAACGTCTGCTCGCTCTCAAATGTTTGACATTTTTCACATTCAGCATTTTCCCTTTGTTCGTCGGCGGGTCTCGTCATATGGCTCGTAGAGACGCTCGTGCGTGCGTAACAAATAAAATTGAGAAAAAAGCAAATGCAAATAAATCGCTGTCTCAAAAATCACTAAAATCGTGCACAAGTGTAAATAAACAATTGTTCAATGTGCATGTGCTGTGTGCATGTGTCTCAATTCATTGAGAAATATGCGTAAAAATAAGCGTTATTTCGTGATTACTACGGCGACGACAACAACACCAACAGCAGCAGCAGCAGCAACAACAACAACAGCGCGCTGCTGCGTTCATTGACGTGACGCGCGAGTGTGAGTGTATATGTGTATGACTATGTGTGTGTGTTTGTGTTTATAATTCCTGGCGTGTGTGTGTGTTGCGAGTTGTTTTGAAATAAATAAAATACATAGCAAAAGTCAATAGCGGCGACAAGCACCGACAACAACATCAACAACAACAAGCACCGACAACAACAATCAAAACACACCACATATAAAATTGCAGTCGCTTTTGCCGCTGGCGCCTCAGCGTCAATCTGCAAAACATACATAAGTAAATGAATAAGTGCAACACATACATAAATACGTACATGCAAATGTATTTGTATATTTACATCAATTTGGTCCGCGCGCAAAATTCTATGTGAAAAGAAAGTAACGCAATATCCACAGAAAAATGCGTATTTGTATTTGTATCTGTGCCTGTGTTCGTCTCCGTGCCCGTTTTCGTGTGTGGGTGTGTGTATTCAGTGTATAGAATTGAATAAGCAGCAGCATAAGCCAAGAAAGTTTAAAAGCAATAAGAAGAAGAAGCAGATAACCAGCGAAAAAAAACACCCAAATGAAGCAATCAAATTTTGTTCAATTTTAAAACCGCAATTGTCTGTATCCCGAAGCATAAAACAAGGCGTATAAATTTTTGCCAATGAGTCGCAGACAGTCATTGGATCGACCAGGTGAGAATATATAAAAAAAAATCTTGCCCTCTTACCTATTTGTAATTAGCATTTCATTTCATTTGCTCAGCATCAACGGGCTGTGCTTGCCTGTCTGTGCTTGCATACGTGCACTTTGCGCGCACGCTCTCTCTATCTTCCGCTCTCTCTGTCTCTTCCCGTTTCTTAATTTCCGTCTGCGTGTTGGAGAGCAGCGCTCTCGTTGTGTTTCTCTCGCTGTTGCTGCTAAAAATACATTGCTCTCGCTGCTCCGAAAATGCTGCGCAGCGCAGCTGCTTTGAGCTGTCAGTGTTGCTGTATTGTTGTTCTTGTTGTTATTGCTGCAAACAACACAGCCATCAGCAACAACTGTGAAAACAAGCAACAGCAACAAAACGCCAAAAATGAAAAAAGAAAAGAAAAAAAAGAAACTGTTGTTGTGATGCAAAGGCAAACATAATAAAAACGACACAGCAGCAGCAGCGGGCATTTTTTGAATCTTTCCCTTTATTGAGTGTTGAGCTGAGCTGTGTGGTGAATTTCTATGTCTACCTTGAGTTAACAAATTTCCCATTGATGAGTCCATCATCATTTGATCGGGCGTTAATCACAATGCATTTAAAGATACTTTGGCAATATTATTTTTATATATTTTTGGCAATGCCATTGTTTTGATCATCGACGTATGTTAATAAGCCCAAAAGAGAAAGTGTCGTTGTGAACGTTGCAACATTTTGTAAATGTTAATGTGACCCAAAAGCCCAAAACGTATGAGAAAGCCAAACCGTCATATGAAAGACAAAGGCCAACAGATGAAAGAAGAACAACAGATACATACAAAACGTAAAAAAAAAATCATTTATGCTGCTCAATAGATACGTTTGTATCTATTGCAGCTGACAACTACTTGGCTGGAAATCGGTATTCAATATTAATTTATCTGTTCGATTTAGTACCACTAAGGTCGCTCCATTGGACTCTGTCGCGTGCCACAGTTGTAATTATGGGTAATGTAAGAAATGAAATCACTGATCTCCTCGAAATGCAAGCTTTGTTCAAATGAATTGAGTTGTTTTTCGATTTGGGTTCGATTTATTTCTTGTTATACTGTTATCATTCAAAGTAAGCATCAGCAACACTCAAATCAGTACAGTGGATACCTGAACGAAGTTCGATTTTAGAAAACCTTAGTAATTGGATACCTCAATTAAATCGTTGATGTTTTTGTGTTTTTATAATATTTAATTTTATCGACAACTGCCAACGTTTCGCAAATATCGATAAAAATCAATGTTCGATAGCAGTAAATGGCCCTATTGTAAACAAACAGTCTTCCATCTGATATTTATATTTATTGATCCACAGTGTTATTGTTGTTATTAAGTTCGTATAGGAAATACAGATTTTTTTAACCAAAACTTATTTTAATATTGAAAAATCTAGTATTATCAAGTCAAAAGGGTAATTCCTAGGTGACTTGTGAACTATAGTCTTCTTATTTGTTGTTTATGCGATAAATGTTTAATATTAACAAAAAACGTATTTTTATATTGGAAATGCAATCGGAAACTATAATTGCTATTGTATTTCTAATGTATTTCATGTTGCTCTACCAATATATAAACAGCTATTAATATTTCTAGCAGTTGATGCTAAAATAATTTACCAATGCTTATAATTATAAAATACCAACAATTATTGTTTACAATATTTGTGATAACAAACAGTCAATTAGAATATTTTGTTTGGTATTCATAGAATGGAGAACTTCCCACGTATATTTTTGTGTGTTGAGTCGTCGCCTACTCGCTGGCAAAAAAAATACATTATACGTTAATTTATTTATAAAATTCAATGTTCACGCTGTTTTAAGCGCCAGCTAACCACAAATTGTTCGTTCTCAATGCAAAGTAGCAACAACAGCAACAACAGCAACAACAACAACAACTGAAACAACAACATGGACTTGGGGAAGGCAGTAGGCATTTGTAGGTCAGGGTTGGGTTGTCGCGTGTAATGCAAAACGTGCCAGCAAATTGAATGCAAAAGCGCGCGTTGTTTTTGCATGCTTACAACCACAACAACAATAACAACAAATGACAACAAACAACAACAAACGACAACAAACAACAACAAACAAACAACAACAACAACAACGACTATAGCCATAACAAGAATGAAAACAAACAAGTCTGGACTGTGCTAATAAGCCCTCAAATGCATAAATTATAATATAATAACAGAAAACTGACTTGACTCGAATCGCAGGGTTCGATGCCATTTGCACTTGGCGGCAAATTCGTAATTTATTTAAATAATAGACGGCATGAAATATTACAAAAGAAAATCAAAATCACTTGGACACTTTTGGCACGCGATGCAACAATTGCAACAACAATAAAAAAAGCTCTGCTGGCTATAAATATATACTCTGTGTACTAAATGGTGAAAGGTGTATTGATTACATGTATAACAGCTTACATTTAAGCCAATAATATGTACTCTGAATGAAATATTCTCTGTTGTTGGTTTCTAGCTAGTTTATAACTGTTTTTACCTTCACTATATATAAAAAGAAATAAATCGATTTAAAAAATGATCTATAAATAAGAGTCTACTTGCATTTATTTATTTGGACAGCTGTGACAATACTGACATCATAAAAACCACAACTTTTTTCTTTTCTTACTATTGTTTGTTGTTGTTTTTATCACTCTGAATCTCTCTTAGCGCATGCCAAAAGTCCATTAAGTGTGTTTTAAATGCTGAATCGATTTTCCACCCTATTAGACGCCTATTAAGACATTGTCAATCAGAATTTTCAGCAGTTCACCGTTTGCGTTTAACGTGTTGCAAAATTCCACACATTTGATCGACTCAAGGTTATTTTTTTATTTTTTCGTTTTAAAACAAGTAAAATTGATCCAGAGCTCAACTGGGAAATACCCTGAAGCCGAGTCGTTGCGCTTACTGATTGTACATAAGAATATATATATTTCTACTGTAATTCTTTATAGATTTTTAATGAAGTTATTTATTGTCAGCTGATTAAAATGTTAAGGTATATACATAATAGATTAGATAGATATGTATTAAAAGAATGGTTTTTATTGCTATCTGTAGTCGATTTTGATCGATATTTGGAAATAGAGAAAGTTGTCGATAAAATAAAACAAATTTGATTGTCGTATGCTATACGAGAACTTATATTCCACACAGCCGAACATGTCCACATTGAGTCGATTTTTCAGTATAGATCAATAATATGGAATATATATACTTTATTGGTTCGGATTAGCTTTCTTCTTTCTGCCTGCTACATACCCTTGAACAGATTAATTATACCCATTTTAGCCATTTTTTTCGTTTTCAAGGTCGCGTTTGCAA